AGAGAGAGAGAGAGAGAGAGAGAGAGAGAGAGAGAGAGAGAGAGAGATATATATATATATATACACATACATACATATTCCTGCTGTGTTCATCTCAGGGCATGCTGCTCGCTCTCTTTGTGTTGTATTCTTAATGTTATTCTAACGGGCCTGTTATTATTTATGTGCTACTTTATATTTTGATGTAAATAATGTGTCTTATAAGGAAGAGTTGATTGTGGTGGGAGAGGATGATTACGGTGTTATTTAAAACAAGCTGTTGTGGTCAGTGTGCTGGATAATAAATGGAAATGTTGGACTGCAGTGGATTGGAAGATGAGGACTAGATGAAGGTGGTACTGGGAGGTAAAGCGAGTCGAGAGGAAGAACTGTGTCGATGTTGGACGAAGTGACTGAAGTCATAGTTTGAATAGTCATAACTGCTTCTTGGAGTTGTGACGCTGCGTGATAAGATATGTAGGCACGAAATGATTTGAGGGACCAGAAAGTGGGAGTGATGGTTTTAGAAAGAGACGGATGAGACAGAACCACTGTCCAGTGTGGAAATACACGGTGCTATTGATTCACAGGATCGGCCATCTGTTGGTCACAGAATGAAAGAAACTAAAGTGATTTCTCTTAATCTCCAGTGAAACATTCCTCTTTTTGTTCCGAGGTGTCTGGCAGAATAAGACCACGTTGTTGTTTTTCTTCTTGTCACCGGCTGGTACAATGGCCTTTGTGTGGGAGATGGGCTTCTCCAGCCACGGCCATGCTCTCATCTGTATGCTGTCATCCTTGAAAACTGGAACAACACACTGTAAAAGATGTTCATCTCGACAAAGTAATTTAATCTCACCGAGTCAGCAGATTCTCCTTGAGCTTGTAAGAATTTTATTCTCCAATCAGCTGGAAAGAACATCTGTGTGAGAGTCGGGGGATTATGGCCGCCGCACCTCTTTTGCTACTGTACAAGGAAATAAGCTGGACTCTTACGTCATCTCATGACTCAAGTATGTTTACAGTCAGTCAACTACTTGTTCCGATACGTCTCCAAACAGGTGTCGGTGTCTTGAAATAATCTCTCAATACAGGAAGTTATTCGTGTCGAAATTTCTAAAGGAGTGATGGTTCCTCTTTCCTGTTATGTGTCATCTGTAAAACAAGTTTGAAGACTTGACGAGTAGCAGATGGACTTGTTTTGCAGTGCGGTGATGTCGGGATGTCACTTCTCAGGATGACGGAACGCTCCAAATGGAGTCGCACAGAGCGGCTCGTGTTTGCCGGCGCCATCGTCTCGTCTCTTGAACATGACCTCTGTGGTGTCGATTCTGTTGTTTAGTACAGCTATTGTACCGGGTCCATTCCAGCAGCTAGTCGCCCGTGGCCTCTGTGTGTGAGTGCTCATTGTCGTGGGCAGGAGGAGCTCAGCCTTCATCCTCCAGAAGCAGAGCAGCATCAGGCCGCTGATGTCACCCTACGCTCCTGTTTCGTGCTGTGAGACCACAGATACTGTGGGTTACAGTCAAACCAGCCACAAGCAAATGCATGTTTCAGAGATGTATGTTTATTTTGCATTTTATATTCTCTTTTTTTAATGTATGAGCATTCTGATTGCATCTGAAATGACTAAAACAAAAGACACAATTCTTATTGTATTCTGATCAACTGCAGGCTAATATGTAGGTTTCACCACGAGAACTGAAAAAGCTCATTAAAGGTTGTAGAAAATATCTGATGGGGTAGTTGATGTGTTTTTGTTGTCTCAGTTTCTCTGTTGCATTCTCTCCATCATTGGGTAACAGTCAACAGGGCGACAAATTAGCCAGCACTTGATTCTAAATAATACAACTTCTCTTGGGTGTGCACTTGCTTTATACCTTAAGAATCGTACATGTCCTCCTTTAAACAGCATACAAGTAGTAAATATTATGGAATGATCTGAAGTTACATTCAGCAAGATGAGTTACAGCCATCGTGCAAAGATGCTATGTCAGCATACAGAGATCACAGATATGAATACACATTCCCACAGCAGCTAGGAGAGTTTTCACACATTTCAATAAACAATGTTCATTATCAATAATGCATTTCTTCCACTGAGAAAAACACTGACCAGAAAATGTAAATTTAGTAGAGTAAAAACTTTTCATTTTAACAAAACAGATCTGTTTGGTTAAAACAATTGTTTATTTATAAGGTAATTTGATATGCTGTCAAAACCAAAACTGTAAAATGTGTTGGAATAAAAAGATCCAACCAAAGAGACAGCAAGTGCTTAGTGAAAAAAAACAAGTGATATGTAATAAGTTTGTTATGAAGAAATGAGCCGGGATGTCATCGCAACAAAAAAGGAAGTGTCATAGAATGTAGGCGTTACATTGAAACATTAACTTGAAAACAGCAGTTGACAAAATGTCTCCTCGAGGTCCACATGACCATCAGCGGATGGACTTAAATGCAAAGACCATGTGATGGGACTGAAAGCTCCAGAGCAGCTACTCGATGGACCTGGAGGTTAGATTGTGTTAACTGTTCTTTTTCCCCCAAAGAGTGCAGCTGTGTGACATTTACAACAAAAAGCTCTTATAAATGATTGGACGATCCACTATTGGGATCAAACTGAAGGAATGACAATGGAACTCTTGAGTAAACATTTGAATACAACAAAGAATCACTACTGAGAGACCAACTGATGAAGTCTGAACCCGACTCTCTAGAGTCAAGTTCAGACATTCACGCGTCTAAAACAAGTGCCGGTATCAACACAACGTAATATGCTGTTCTGCTTCAGCCAAATAGCCTTTAAAAAAGGTGCAATGTGTAGAACCTGGCAACCTGCTCCAAAAGAAAAGGGGGCAGCATTTCACCTCTACCACTGGTTCCATACACTCTACATGTACAGTGATTCATTCTAAAGCTAACAGCAGGGAAACACTGACACTGACCGGGGCTGTACGCTTCATTTAGCTTTGATAGATTCTTTGTTGGATTGAATCCAAAGTGGCAGAAACAAGAAAACAACTCTTTTGTTTGGCCCTCTCACTTCTCCGGTAGACGGACCTTCCAGTCAGTGGTTAGCTTCAGCAGATGGAATACAGCCAGCGAGGGACCACCATGACTCCCTGCTCGGTCAGCAAACTCTCTGTTGCTGCCGTCACAAAGATTAGACCCAGCGCTCCACCAGACCGCTGTGACCCCTGTGTGCCGGGGTTTAGTGCTGGCTGAATGCTAGCTGCTACTGAAGTGTGTGAATGAACATGTAGGGTTAAAGCACTTTGAGAGGCCAGAAGATCAGCTGGCTAGCATGCTCATTTCAGTAGATATCTCTGCAACACCATGCAGAAGACGTCTTTGACCTCTTCTCATTCTGTGGAGTATTAGTTCATTTTTGGAGTGTTTTAATCTAAAATTCTGGCCACATCTTACACATTGCACCTTTAGGTTCAATTATGAATCATACCGGAAATTAAAATAAGTCCTTAATTAAACTAAGAGGAATTCTCTCATGAGCAAAATCCAACTGAACATGAATCATTCATGTTTCTGAATGGACAGCTCTGCAAGCAGCTCGTAGCTTGAGCCAGAATCAAATGTAAACGCTCACATTTAGCCTGAAGAGTTAAGAAGGAAGACCATTCTCACACCTGCATATTCCTACTCGGCGCTACAGGGAGCAGGGAAAAAGCTCCCGGATCATTCAAACGGGTCGGGTCAAGTGCATTGAGCTGTGAAAGGTACAACACACCAGCATCGCTCACATGCTCTCAGGTCTGAGCCCTTAAATCAAAGAAAAATGAGGTAAGAGCAGCAAATACGACTGAATCTGCATGTAAGCGCTCACAAGCAAACTCAAAACTCCTGGATGACCCTGAAGTGGTTCTCGATGGAGGGGGACTCATCCTCAAAGTGCAGATTCTTACTCGGACGGGCCCCGAACTCCTCCAGGGTCTTGATAAAATGTCCGTGCTCGCGGCCCACCCACGCCCGCATGGGGTCGCACACCTCGTAAGGGGTCACGTGGGCGTGGACCGACACCCCACTGGTGGCGAGCTCCTTCAGCACCTGCTGGTTGGTCACCCAGGTCTCGCTGCCTCCCGGGTGCCCGCCGTCCAGCCAGTACATGTCCGAGACGCCCTCGACGAAGTGCGACATCTGCAGGTCCGCTCGGGCCCCGGCCAGCTCGTACACCATCTGGTTCAGCACCACGCAGCCTTTGCTGAAGCCCACCAGGGTCAGGGAGAACCCTGAGGGGGGGCCGTCAGCGCCTCCCTGTGGCCGAGGGGGGTTCGGTAGGTTGGCTCGCTCCATGCCGTGGCTCAGCAGGGCCCTGCCGTCAGAAACGCTAATACTCACAATGCAGTCACCATGCAGTAAACACTCACTTTCCTCAGAGGTGAGGATTCTACTCAGTGGTCATTTTAGCAGACGCCCTCTTCTGCGTCTCTCAGTCAGAGTCCGTTTCAGACTCTGGCAATACAGAAGTCTTTAAGACTAATGCACTAAGAATTCAGACGGCCACTACTGAAGATAACCATTACACAGGCAGCAGTTAAGTATGCCAGCGTCAGCTTTAGTAAAAGCTGAGGCAATAACCATTTTTATGAGTTTTAAAAGAAAGCTGAGGCAGGGTTGTTGTATTGTACGGTGTCTGAAGGTCACTATACGCAATATTATAACAAAGATACAGACTAGCTGGCTTATGATTGATTAAATAAAAACTCAAAGAGTGTATGAAAACATTGTTTGGAGTGATAATAGACCATAGACTCTGTTGTCTACAACCATTGCAATACTGCATAAAACTAAGGACATCATGAAAGAAAACTATACTGCTCACTCATAGTTCCATACATTACATAACGTGTTGAAGTGTGGGGAAACACTTACACAACTAGCACTAATTCAATCTTCATGCAACAATTCATCAAGAGGAAATAGCGATGTGTGTTTAGGAAAATGTACACAAATATTACAACTAAAAGACAAAGTGTGTGGCCAACACTGAGGAATGACACGACAGAAATGTTTCTTTATTTTGACCTCCATGAACTGACAATCTATGATGTCATGGTTCTTCATTATATTTTGGTTTGTTTTTGATTCTCTGCTATTTTGGGTCGAATTATAGAAATGCTTTGTTCAGAATTAAGTGTATGCACAATAAGCTCAGGCTTCAGCCTTTTTCTGTCAGAATATTGTGTTTGATTTGATTCTATTTGTGATATGATGTATGGTCAATTTGTTGTATTGTGAATGAATGACTGGAAAAAATAAACTAAACTAATTTAGAGGAATGGATCAGCTAAATAGCCAGATATTTCCCTCAGGAGTTGGTGGAGATCAAAACAGCTCAAAGAAGAGTGACTGTGGACACAAACACCCTGTGTCTACTGGTGTAAATAATCATGTTACAGCATGTTGTGTTTAAAGCTTGTTTGCTGCCCCCAAGTGGCCAAACAAGTGTTTAACACAGCTGAAAAATCAGAACAAAGTGCAAATATTAAAGCAAATTAAAAATGTCACGATAATTCAAATGCTATATGTTGACTAAGCTGATCAGAGAAGAAAAGGAGTTGAAATACAGACCTGAGCTGGAGAAACGCTCCGGAGTCAGGCGAGTATGGCGAGTGCTCCGGGGCCCCGAACATGTTGCTCTCCACAAAGTTGTGGTAGCTGCTGAACTTGTGGAGATACATGCGGCCGGCTCTGACCACCCAAACGTGCCGGCCCGGGAACCGTCGGCCCAGGGTGAGGGCGACCTGCTCCAGGCTCCAGGAGAGCCACTGGGCTCCTTCAGGCTGCAGAGCCATCTCCTCCTCGAAGTTCTGCAATGAACAACACGAAGAGAGACGGGATGTGAAGCTGCAGTGAACAACGTATACAAACTGGAAGAAGGTGAAGTATACGACATATAAATCACTTATTGCTTTGCATTTGTTTGAGTTTACAGATACGTGCATCCCTAAAATTAGCTCTTTCAGTCAATGTGTTTGTGATGATTAGAGCATGTATCTCTGCAACATGAAGTGTTGGAACATAAACTTGTCCAGCTAAGGAGGAGGAGGCGGAGGAGGCATGGCAGTGATATTCGGCCTTCAAACACTTAAATTCAGATGTAAGATTAAAAAGAAATCTCCCAAAAAAAGACTCTAAAAGTCAAAGATGTTTGCAAAAAGTATTGATGAGTCTCTCTGACAACCGATGACTTCAAACTGTGAGACAGACAAGAAAAGAAGTTCCCCACATCCCCTCCAGCCCAACGAGAGTCTGACTAGAAACCTCTCACGCGTGCGCCTCTCTTTGACACTCTTGGTTCGTTCCATCGGCAGCGTCTCCTCAGTCAGACTGAGAGGTCCTGAACAACAAGCGACCTCATTTTATCTACATGCAAACATGATGGGGACAGCATCCCACGCATACGAACGTCTCCTGGTAGATACCAGCACACTTTAGGAACATTAACACTTGCCTGGGAAGCCGCCGGATGAATTGCAAATGAGGACAACGTACGGATGGATCGGTCGCGACTAAAGCTTCAGTGAATGAGGACAGCGCTTGGATTCTTGAAAGCAATTAGAAAGGGAAACAAATAGCTGACATTTAATCTTCTTTTACTCCTATTCTTTTTTTTTTTTTTTTTTTTTACACTTGATTAATAAGTGTCCCTTCCACTTACTAAAAAAAAGGGACCAAAAGGCCTCTGATGAGACCGTTTTGCATAATCTGCCAGCTGAAGCAATTAGACGTTTGGCCTAGGCAGGAGGGATACTGAGTCCTACTTATTCCTCACAGCAGTTTAATCACAACTGCACACATGTTCAGAAACTCTCTTCTTATCTGCTTGTCAGCTGTCAATTCATCAAACACACACACTGATGTCTCAGGGTGAAATTACTAGTGCTCCCATCCACAAAAACAGTTTATTTTTTCCTTTAAGTGCTTCCAAGATGGTTGTTCAAAAATATGTATTTAACCGGACTGTTTTATGGTTTCTAACATAAGAGAAAGATGACTAGTGATGACTTGTATTTCAACACTACTCTGTGGACGGTAGCAAAAAAGCTTCAAAACACTGAATGACTCAGATGTTTTCTCAGGTCCTATGTATGGAATATTATTACAGTGTGGTATTGTCAAATGTTTTGAAATCCCTACACATAAGCTCTTCGCACAGTGGATTTCTGGGAATTGCAGTCTGGTCATTTTCAGCTCTGACTCAGAAAAACCATGTTCAATTTAGTCAAATCACCTGCGTGTTTCTTCCACAAAGACGATCCAACTCACAGCTAAAGGTGGATTAAATAGAGGAAGTGCACCTCATCTCTGCGGCGGTCTGCTATCATGCTCCAATACTCGCCATGGACAGACAAGTATCATCACTGTACTTGTGCGCGATAGACTGAGCTGTGAAGTGCTTCCTTCAGTTGAACTTTGTGGCTTATCACTGAGCCCTAGACAGCCTCTCCAACACAGTATGAATAAAGTGAACTCGATATCACCGTAGCTAAGAGACGCCAAGAGTGACGGGGTCAAATATCTGCCCTTTGTTGTTTCACGATTGTGTTATACTGCGACAGTAAATAATAATGTGTGCAGAATGAACTACCCTGCTACTAAAGTGGGAAACAATTCTAATGCAAGCTAGCCTGAAAGTGGTTCCCCGCATTATGCAATAACCTGCAGGAGATTCCTTTGCTTCAGTACAACGAAATGACTCAGTCTGCTGATAACCTGTCCTGACACATGGGAGGAGTCACATGCCTGTACAAGATGGAAAGATACATGACCCTTACCCTGTAAATGTCACATGGCATTTAGATCTCACGTGAGTGAGCCATGTGGTGGTTGTTGTTGTTGTTGTTGTAAAGGCACTTCAATTACTTTAAAACTACTCCAACTCAAAATCTTAAATACAATGTCATAATAATACCATCATCCATCATTTTATAGATTTCTCAGTGAGTCGTTGGGATTTGTTATAGTGTGTGTATTTGTAAAATTTGGTCAAGGATTAAATCGTTTAGTTGGTGTGGTTTAAGCCTTTAAATAACATCCCCATTAATACATTGGCGTTCACAGATAGCACGGGGATGAACCGACCATAAATCTCTGGATTCCAATCGGCCATTATCTCCTTGTTCAGGGTTTTATTTACCCGTCTGTGTTCATTGTGAACGGAACTATTTTAGGTGATTGAGAGTCAGGCGTCATCTGTCTGTCGCCCCCGTGGGTAACCTGAGATCAATAGACGCCTCAAACATGTGCTCATACCCTCATCACACTCACCTGAATGTCCCCGTGGAAAAACACAACATGTCTGTTGCCGCTCTCCTCCTTAAGTTCTGCGGTAGTCTGGCCGTCTGTGTCAGGCCGGAGGAGCAGTAGGTCGTTAACTCGGCTCGGGTCGTATCCGGGTACAGCGAGCAGCTTCTGGAGCCTCTGCCGCGGGCTCCCGGTGCGTGCACCCCGGCTGGCTAACGCGCTCAGTCCCGGAGGTTCAGCAGATGTCGTCGCTGCCACAGAGGTCATCGTTTTGGCCACAGCTATTAGAGAGACGCCCGCTGCAGCTGCTCGAATGGCTAGCATGGACTCTAAAATAAGAAAAATGATTTGGAGTTGTCTTTCTTAACGCAGTCACTCCATGCGGTTGCTGCTGTCAACTAGCTACCTGTCTCTATTAGCAGCACATTATCTATGCGGCTGTAGCCCAAATACTTATCTTTGCACACTGTGCTTTATTCGTCCTCTGTCTCTCGTTGTTTGAATTGATGTTTAATTGTGACAGTTAAGACATGGGGTCTGTCTGCGGAAGAGAGGGGCGTAACTTGAAGTTGGAGCTGCGGCTGGCTAGTTAGCTAGCTAGCTGCTTCCAATGCTTAGTACACTGATTACAGAAAATGAGCCGGACAAAGTTGCCACTCGTCCAGCGATGGCATTGCGCTTTCCTACGCTGTAACAAGGGTGTGGATGAAACATTAAATATTTAAGTCCTACTCATTTAGCGGCTTGCTAATTAGCTAGCTAGCGTGCACTAATCCCAGAATGTTTTTTATTTATTCGGCGTCTTTACCAGCACCATATAGGTGCATTACCGCCACCTACTGGTCTGGAGAAGGAAGCAATAGATTAGCTTAAACATCAGGTATTTACATTATAACAATTGATCAGCAGTTTCAAGCTCCCAATTGACACCCTCCAGTCATCCCCTTCCTCTTCTGAGCCTTGTCACACAAAGACACGTGTCTTTGTTACCTTTTGATTATCCCTGGGAGTCTTCACACCTGGACATTCTCTGGTTAAACTGCAACCCCTGCAACTGTAACCCATTTGGTTACTTCCCCTTATCAAAGCAAAGACAGAGACACCCCATATGGTCCTGTTACCACTCTCTTAGGTACACAATCATATGTCACATATAGTTTTGTTAGTGAGTAAGGCACATAAACTAAATCACAGTAGAAATGTACTAGCACACTAAAATGTTCTATCACATTCCCCAATGTTTTCCATCAGTTAGCCCTGTTATTCTCTGTTATTATTTTTTTTTTTATTGTACCAGATGCAATCTATTACTACATGTTTGACAGTCTTCGGTTCATTTCAGTGTGTGAATGCCTATTGAACATATTTAGGTATAACATTATTTTCAGATAATAATATTTTAAGATGATTTAAAAAAAACAAAACACTGCATATAGAGTAAAAAAAATATGATTTGATAATTTACCCTCACTGCACATGAATAGAGAGAAAAATATTGATATAAAGATACAGTATATTAATCAAAACCATATAACTAGTTTAACAATATAAAAATTATGATTTGATAAATAATCCACCACTGCACATAAATAACATAAGAATGATTTGATAAATTACCACCACAGCATATACAAATTATGATAAAATGTATCAATTGAAAGCTGTAATAAACAATCAATAGCAAAATCATTTCTATAATCACAGCTTTAACGACACAATAAGAAAATGAAAGCATGAGTCCTTAGTCCTGTTCACAGTAGCAGCTGTGTCTTGGACTGCACCTGTACTTCACCTGTCTCTTCTCTTGGATCTGACACTCGGAGCCCGTTCTATAATTGAGAGGACATTTGGGGTCACGTAGGCACAGTAGGCACAGTGGCGGGCCACCTTATTCAAGGCGCTGGAGGTTATAGGCCTCCACAATGTGTGCCTCTTCCATGGGGATACCATGGAAGAGCCAGAGCTCCAGCCTGAGGAACCTGGTCCCCCTGCTCCACTTGATGACATCCAGGAGAGGAGTGGGGCCCACACGAGGGACAGGCTGTGTGCCCACACATCAGCACCTTTAGGCCCCGTTAAGGGATCAGGATATGCCGCCAGATAAACTGTTGTGTAAATTTATATTGGGCTATCTTCAGTTTAAATTACCAGCAAACATAATCCTGTTTTTGTGGTCATAAAGCCAGAGAAACATAATCCTGTTTTTGTGGTCATAAAGCCAGAGAAACATAATCCTGTTTTTGTGGTCATAAAGCCAGAGAAACCTAATCCTGTTTTTGTGGTCATAAAGCTAGAGAAACCTACATCACTGTCTACTTTGTTTCTTGTTTGTGATGGATCTAAACGTTTTTTTGATACTCAAGAATGACAATCCAACACACATTTCTTTTTTGCACCCAAACATCTCCCTTAAAGCAAACTCTTTAGATATGTATGTTGGAAATCTTAATTCAAAAATCACTGCACTGAGACAAATGAAATGCCACTCATCTTTAATGTCATAGACCTTAAAAAAAGAAAGAAATCTATAATTTATAGTAATATATAGGCCTAGCTGTACATATTTTCAAACACATGAAATTAAACCAATTCACCTTGTCCAACTAATGTGTCACCTTGAACCGTACTGTACTCAGTAAAGAGATTGGCTTGATTTGATGCATCAGCCTTCCCCGCACTAGGGTGGAGGGTCAGGAGAAGCGACTTCACCTGGGCTAGCTCAGCGGTCAGCAGATCCACTCTAGAAGACAGCATGCTGGAGTTAACCCTCTTGGAGGAGCCCCTGTGCCTCTGTGGCCCAACTTTTGAAATGGGTAGGTTGGGCTGGATTCAACTGACTTTGTTGATATAAAGACTCGACCTGCGTGTGCGCGAGATGAAAGATATTCAGTATCAAACACTGCCTCTGACGATCAGTAAGGATGAAATAGAACATGAAATTGACACAAGTACAAAACACTCAGAGGAGAGAAAAATAGATCTAGTCATATCTAAAAATCGTTAATGCAATGTATACTTCTTTGCACTGAAATACACACATAGATGTACAAACATCGGTAGTGTGGCTAAAACTACAAAAAACAAATATATGTAAATTAATATTATAAATATGATCAAATCAATGATTTATGATTGAAGAAGAAAGAAAGAAATACACTAAGTCATCATGTCAGTTTCTTACTACCACCTGCATGTATATGTACACATTTTTATACAGTTTTTACACACAATACTTTCCCCATTTCCAACTTTTCATCGATAACATCCTGAATGAATTCATGTATTTAGTTCCAGTATTTCTGAATTATTAGTCAGCTCCATATAATATATGTTTTCCCTCCACATATTTAAATCCACAGCAGTGATTTTTACCTTTAAGTCAGAGCCTTTATGATTTTTCATTAATAAACACACCAGCATCAGATTCAAGAGGTCAGTTTAACCAAACGTCCCCTCTGTCTGCAGCTGAAGAGGAAGCAGCAGCAGATGCACCACAAAGATCACGGACCTTTACTAGATACTTTGTATATATTTGTGGTGTCACGGTATCATTTGGAACTTGTGATATTTTCACATTCTTATCAAAGTGTTATTTCGTATCTAATTATAACTTCTATGTGAAGTACTTTGTTTTGCATCCTTTGATTGACAGAGGCACAGTTATATCATGATTATGGCTATAAAATCAAATTGTTTGTATTATTCAATGATATTTTCAGTTTGTATTCGTGGTGCTAATTGGGCCAGATGTTTTCTGTAAATAACTTTTCTGAATGACAATATTTTTCATTTGAAAATCTAAATAAAACGTAGGCAATAATTCACAAAAGAATTTTCAAGGATAGATTTAACACAGGCACACGTTCACAGACGGTAAGACTGACTATTACCACTTTGCTGTGATGCTGCAATGATGCCCTCTTGTGTTGATACAGTGTATTGCAAGGAGATCGCGACACTGCAGTCTGTGCAGAAACTCTTTGCAGCCTGTGTGATCTAAGAACACAAGTAAAGTGGACATTTCTGAGTCTAACTTCTAAAGGCATACATTAGTTATTTCACCATGCAACACTTATCAATGTTGTTACAGGAAATTTGTATCAAAAGCATGCTATTTAAAGTAACACTGATGTGAGTCTTTTTCTTTCTTAAATGTTTGAGCTATGTGAACTGAATTCACAGCTTCTGTTTGTATCTGATGTGTCGCAGCTGCATTAAAATAGCTGAGTAGAAAGGACATTCTGTTTGCATACCGTAAACACTTCTCGTGCATGTGATTTATAGCTCAGAATGGCCTGGAAGGTTTTATGGCCTAGTCGTGGGTGTACATGAGGAAGTGAAAATATGTTGCTGGCCTTTTACAAGTCAAGACTGGACTTTGGTTTTACTTTTATTTTGTTGTAACCCAAGTTGCAGCACAGCCTCAGACTCTCACAACCAAGAAGACACCGTTTAGAGTAGCTGCTGCTTCTTAACAGGAAAAAGACTGAATCAGGACTTGTGGACATTCTTGGGCTTTTTCTGTCTTGTCTGTCTGTATTCTCTCACTCTTTTGGAGTTAAGAGAACTTTTGATGGGAGAAAAGCTCCCAAGGGTGCCAGGTGGAGCCCGGCTCCACAGTGACAGTTTGAGCAGACCAGTGCAGACCCTCAGGGTTAAGATGGTACTTCTGGGAAGCTCTGGTGTGGGAAAGTCCAGTCTGGCAATGCGATTTGACAAGGATGAATTTAGGAGTACAACACCTACTGTAGGCTGTGAGTATATGACACTGAGAGCTTTGGATAGAAATTGTTGATACGTATCAGAGTGAAATATTGATACTGAAAAGTAGTAACCAAAATAGTTTGAAATGTTTTGAAAATCGCTTATTCGCTGCTGAGAGATAGATTAGAAGATCTATACCGTTCACATGTCTGTAAGGTAAATATGAAGCTACAGTCAGGATAGCTAGCTCAGCCTAGCTTAGCATAAAGACCAGAAGCAGTGGAAAGAGCTAGTGTGGCTCTATCCGAAAGAAGAAAAAAAAATGCCGAAAAACAATATAATACATTTGAACAAAATAACAGAATAGATGTGTAATGTGTACAAACAACGAGTTGTGGTCTAAGAGGGAGTTATGTGATGGACTATTTCTCGGCGGGGAGCAGTGACCTCCTGGAGAAACCACAACTTTTTACACCTCAGATTTTGTACAGAGTAAAGACATAATGTGTTGCACAGTGAACTTAATTGGTGCTTGATGGCATATCTTTTTTTTTACATTTGGAAAGAACCAAGCCAGCTGTTTCCCATATTTCCAGTCTTAATGCTAAGCTAGGCTAACGTCTCCTGGCCGTAGCTATAGGTCTAAATAACGTACCCCACAGACATATCTAACCCTAGCTAATAAACCACAATCTAAAACTTTAATCTTTATCATAGTTCTATAGCTGTATACTATTTTAGTGTGACACTTATGGTGGGGATGTCATACACATGTTCATATCTACTAATTACAAAAACATTTCTTCACTAGCTTTATTGCAAATATGATCCAGCCAGGGACATCTCCAAAGACTCAGCAGTGAACAAATGAATCCCCTCTGGTGTCCTTGTGCTGTCTGCCCCCCCCTCAGGTGCCTACCTGACCCGGGTGGTGCATCTGAGTGATGTCACTCTTCACTTTGAGATATGGGACACGGCAGGGCAGGAAAAGTACCACAGCATCACCCCACTGTACTACAGAGGGGCCCACGCTGCACTCTTGGTCTATGATGTCAGCCAGAGGGTAAAAGGAGCCGACGCCTGAACATGGAAGTGACTTGTCTTGTCTCATCTTGGCTGGTGCTTGTGCCATATCGTATCCTTGTGCATGTTTGTGTCACTATAGGAAACGTTTGTCAGAGCTCAAGTGTGGCTCAAAGAGCTTGAGAAACAGTACATCCCAGGATCTACTGTCATTTGGCTGGTAGGCAACAAGGTGGATCGGGAGCAGGATCGACAAGTCTCAGTGCAGGTACGCACTCACACGGAAAATCCCCCTCCTTAATCTCAAACAATCCCTATTTAACACGCAGAGTCACATCTACTGTACAATTTAATCTATGACGTGCAATTTCAGTTTTTTTTTTTCTATGTCGTCATACAGGAAGGACAGAGTCTGGCCAATGACAGGGGCTTATTGTTTACAGAGACGTCAGCCCTGTCGGGGGATCAGGTCTGCGAGCTGCTGCTAGCTGTAGGTAAGTAAAAGTATTAAAGGAACTGCAATAAAGAGGTTGTTTTGAGACTTTTGTTACCTGAACTCAGCCTCCCAGACCGTGTTTTGCCCCACCAATCAGATGCTTTAAAATATAATAAAAGACTATGCAGGTTAAGGTTGTTGTTAGGGTCTCCTAATATTACTAGAGGAAGCTGGATTTAGTCACAGTATTCCTGACTTATCCATGGGGACAAAGGTCCAAGGTCCAGAGAAAGACAGCTTATCTACCACTAGAGAGCAGTAGATACAAACATGAGGAGCAAAGGTAGGCTGCTTCATCTCTAATCTACACACAGTTATTGGCGAATATGAAAACTGTAAAATATTGTAACATAAGTCCAGGTCTGAGGTGCCAGTTTTCTTTTACAGCTTAAACGCCTCTAAAATGTCAGCATGCTCCTGTGTATTATAACTCCATCTGTGCCGTCTTTGCTAACAGAGCTCTGATTTCAGCCCACAGAGTGCACGAGTGTATTGGAGCGCAGCAGGGAGGTCTGTCAGAGTGGCAGGAAACGGCACATGTGGATCTGCATCGTAGAGACACATTCAATCCTTTTGTATCCTGCTGCAAAGTTGGACCCTAACCTCTGTGACTATCAGTTGTGTTGCTGCTTGTCTTTGTTTCTCTGTCTTTATCCTTTAAAAGTTACTCTAAGTCTAAGGCTAGGCCAGGGGTCGGCAACCTTTACTATCCAAAGAGCCATTTTGCCCTATTTTCCACCAAATAAAATTCGTCTGGAGCCTCAAAAGCTATTTGATATCACAGCCTATAAAGTGTTATATATAGTTATATTATATATACAAAAACTATAGTTTGTTGTATTTATGAAAATATAGAACAAGAATAAAGACAATTCTTGACATTTTTTTGCAATTTTAACTGATATAACAATATCGAACTCTTATGAAGAGGAGAGTTTGCTGCAGCAGCTGAGAAATCGCTCTTTTTCACTCATCTCCAGCGTGACACTTTTCAGCAAATGCTGTGTGCTTGTTCTGGAAGCATAGAGGTAAGTCAGCATCGTTGGCAGTGAAAGCAAATCAAGACGTCCACGCAGAGTTAAACTCTCTATTTTCCTCCATGACTTTTCTTTTTTTGGATTTATCCATTGATAGTTTACAGAGGCCGGGGGGCCACCTGCAGGGAAAGGCTCTTGACAGGGGTAGAGGATTTGACTGCCTGTGGGAATAATTAACATATAAGATTCTGTTCATTCTTGCTTATGAATTATATTCTCTCTGAACACGTTTCTCTTTTTGGAGAGACTCATGTGAGATAACTTCTTCGATTAGCGCAATTTCCCTGCTCTTCTTTCTATTTCCTCGTCTCTTGGTTGGTGTGTTTCCTGCACCGCCGAACAAGTGCCGTAACGGCTGAATAAGAGGCGCCGGTTAAAGTTTAAACTCGGTGCCCAATATGTATAATTCCGAATTGTCTATCGGTTTTTCGTTCCTGGGTCCGGATCCGGTGCGCCAGTTGGGGACCTCAGGGAGCCGCAACATAGAGGCTAAAGAGTCGCATGCGGCTCGCGAGCCGCAGGTTGCCGACCCCTGGGCTTGGCTGTTTTTACTGTATTTATGGTATACATAAAAACATCTCAAATAAAACAAATGTGTGTAGATTCTGAATCTTTGGTTCTCTTCCTGTTTGATTGGATGCACAAAACTGTATTTATCCTGCAGTATGACTCGTGGTGGAGAGTGACACATTTTCAGCTTGTTTTACTTGAGGCTAAACGCTGCTCACTACTATTCATGCAGGATAAGTCCTTGTGTTCCATTTGTTGGAATGCTTTTCCTCAGTAGGTTTATGACCAACCCCCTCAGTCTCTGTCTATGCCAGATGTTGGACTGATGCCGATTATCCTCATTCAGGGTCTGCTGTCTGTGATTAAGCTGAGCGGAGATACCCTCAAGTCAGAGTTCTGTTGAGTGGTTAGCAAATTTCCTTTTTTTTACACAATAGAGACCCAGTCAAGTTTAATAAAGTTTATAATAAAACCATTTTGAACGGTCCAAATTTTCAAAGTATTTCCACTGTGGGACAATGCGCTGCTTTCTACTGGTCTGGATTTGGAAATGATTTAATTTGTCCCTTAGTGGGGGAGTCACAGAAGTACTGTGAGTGATACATACATTTGCCTGAATAGCACAACTTTAATAGCAAATAAACTCCAAAGTCCCTAAAAAAATTCAATATTTTTTAATAGATGTCACCCTTTGTCGTAGCTCCGGCTCATAAATTCAACTCGTGATTAAAGCTACTCCAAGGAACTTTCAATTTATGTCAATTTTGGTGGCCCCTGTGGATTAATGTGGTAGTGTTTCTGAGCACTAGAGTCCCCTGAGAAAACCTCTAATTTTACTGCAGCAGAGTCTGTCAGTTAGTCCTGGTTCTGGTTCTCCTGTGCCTCCCTTCCCTCCAGCTGGCCCAGCAATACAGCCTGGATCTCCAGCAGCGTGCTGTCACTGTTGGCTTCCAGCAATGATCGAAGGAGCAGCGATGGGCTGGTCGCTGCTGGAGGCCCTCCTGGAGTTGGAGCTGAAGCAGTTTTTACTGAACCAGCACTATTTCATTTGATTTTGCACAGAATCTGACCCAGTGGCACCAATGACAAGCATTAAGAATAACTTTAAAGAAACATCAAATCATCTCTCTGGTGGGCTTGTTCGCTTATGTAGGTCATATGGAGCCATCCCTATTAAATTGAGACTATTTTATAACCAGTTAAATGTTCCTCACATTAACTTTAAGTGAATCAGTTCATAGAGAGGAGGTTGGGGTGGTTGGATGGCCAAAAGAACACGTGAATTTTCATGTCCTGTGTGAAACCAAAACTCAACAAAAAGTTTTCACAAAAGAGTCCAAAACTCAACACATTGACTTTTCTTAACTTACGTATGCATACCTGTACATAACTTAGGTTACGCAACAAACATTTCATCCGTCTTTTAACCCAAACCATGATCTTTTTCTAAACCTAACAAGTTTTGTTGCCTAAACAAGTTGTTTTTTTTCAATTCACGACGTGGTTTTCACTTTTACCTTCACAACCTACTTGTTGCAATTTAGTCTGTAGCAATTGAATGGTGGCGATAACAGCTTATCGCCACCATTAAGGACTCATTTTGTAATGAGGGCACTGATAAAATGAAGTAAAAACCAAATGGCATAACTCCCGCTGAAACCTGAAATTGACGTTTTTATGTTTCTATGGATCAAACAAAAAAGATATAATTTTTGTATTGCCCAGCTTGATGATGAAGGCACCGCAATGTCATTGTCAATCATATATCCATCATATATCCTCACCATCCAAATATTCACGCTTCTCAGGAGAAACTCTATAAAAATGCTGACGGATAGGCTGCGCATCCCCTACCTCAATGTCGTGCTCAACCCAGTTAGTACGGGACGGTACGTCACCAAACAAATCTGGATACTTCAAAATCAGCTCTTCCAATTCCTCAGCCTGTGCTTCTGGCAAATGGCTGAACAACCCTTTTAACCTCAAGAGGGTCCCTGAATTTTTCAGTCGGCCAGACAACAACCCCTCATCAGGCTCCAGAACAGCATCGTCCATATTCTCAACTGACTCTGCATCCACTGTATTAGCCCCCAACACAGGACTCATTACCATTGGTTCCTGCTGGACATCACCAGGTGCACTAGAAGAGTGAGCATAATAGGGTTTCAGCAAGTTCACCTGGAACAATTTAACAGGTTTCTTGCGACCATGAGTTGAAACCAAATAATTCTTGTCTGAGATGCGTTTGACCACTGTAAACGGACCAGAAAACTTAGCCCGGAAGGGTGAAGTCACCACCGGACAAAGGGCCAAAACTCGATCCCCGGCACTAAACTCACGTATCTCAGCCTGGAGATCATATCTCTTCTTCATTTTAGCTTGTGATGTGGCCAACATTTCCTTTGCCAACTCCCCTGCAGAATAAAACCGATGTCTAAACCCATTCACATAATCAATAAGGTTGGTGGGGGGATCCGACTCCTTCCAACCATCCTTAAACACAGACAATGGGCCCCGGACAGTGTGGCCAAACACTAGATCATTTGGGCTAAACCCTGTACTTTCCTGTACAACCTCCCGTGCAGCTAACAGCAACCACGGTAGCCCATCTTCCCAGTCTCCATCTAGCTCAGTGCAATATGAGCGCAAAAGAGACTTGAGTGTTTGGTGAAACCGCTCCAAAGCACCTTGACTCTGTGCGTGATAAGCAGACAACTTGTTATGTCTGATACCTAGCAGTTCTAACACTTGGACCATCAGGTGAGAAGAAAAATTTGATCCCTGGTCACTTTGTATGACTCTAGGGATGCCAAACACAGTTATGAATTGCGTCAAGGCCTTAACCACAGATTTTGCAGTTATTGTTCGCAAAGGATACGCTGCCGGGTACCTGGTGCTTTGACACATAACAGTCAGTAAATACTGGCTACCAGACTTCGCACGGGGCAGCGGCCCCACACAATCAATGATTAGGTATTCAAACGGCTGACTGATAGCTGGAATCGGCTCCAGTGGAGCTGGTTTAATGACCTGATTTGGCTTACCAGTCAGCTGAAACGTACTACATGTTTTAATATGCATAGAAACATCCTTTTTCATTCGTGGCCAGAAGAAATGACGTAATATCCGGTCATAGGTTTTCCGGACACCCAAATGCCCTGACCCATCATGAGCAAGTCTTAACACATGACCCCGAAGCTTGGCTGGAATGACAACTTAAAAAATGGGATCCCAACAAAATCCTCACCATGGGGCACCCACTTCCTCATCAAAATACCATCCTGAAGAAGGTAGCCCCTGGAAACATGTTTCACCTCACCAACTGACAGCACTGATCCAAACAACTCCTCCAAGGCTGGATCTGTTCTCTGTCCATTCTGCAGATCACTATGCAACACAGACAAAGGAAAATCAGGTAAACACGGCAAATTTTCCTCCACCTCCCCATCTACCTCCTTTGATTCAGCACGACTCATCGATCGAGTAACCGCACACAGGGAAAACTTCGGGGAAGTTCACAGCACTCTCATCAGGCTGTTCTGAGACTGAAGGAAAGGGAGTGACTATCGGAGGAGGAGGCACATCTGCCCATACACGACTGCCAGCCAAGTCATTGCCCAAAATGATGTTAATCCCTTCCACTGGTAATGCTGGTCTCACCCCAATAGGAACTCTGCCCTGCACCAAGCCACAGTGTAGATTCAGCATATGCACCGGAACAGGCAACACCCTCAACCCCATTCCTCGCATTAGGATTTTATCCCCTGTATCTGTCTCATCTGAAAATAAAAAAAATAGAGTCTCGAACATAGGAGTTAACAGCACCCGTATCCCTCAAAATCTTAACGGGCACCTTAATGTCACTACCAGTATGTGTTACAAACCCTCCGGAGACAAAAGGCCGATAGGACTCATCGGGGCCACTAACCACCTCACATTCTGCATGCCCACCTTGCCACACTCCCACAGGACCAGGAACGCTTACAACCAGTGCAGAAGGTTTTAGCCGCCCACCTCCAGCCTGCTGCCTCCTAGCCCTAAGCATTGGGCAGTCCTGTTTCCAGTGGCCTGCCTCACGGCAGTAATTGCATGTATTTTCTCCCATTTCAGGTGCTCCCCGAGGCGCCCTACCTGGGAAAACCCCCCCAGCGAACAGATGACTAAACACCTCCATCATTCTGCAACACAGGCTCACCCAGCCATCTTTTATGAATGAGCACATACTCATCAGCCAATCCAGCAGCTTGGTTGGCAGTTGTAACCTTACGCTCAGTAAGATATGTGGCAACACGACTGGGTAGAGAGTTCTTAAACTGTTCCAAGACGACCAGATTACACAAACTTTCAAAATCATTAGCATCAGAAGACATACACCAACGATTGAAATTATTTGTCAGCTCCCTCGCAAACTCCATATGAGACTGGTTGAACCTTTTTTTCCAACATCCTAAAATGCTGGCGATATGCTTCAGGGACCAACTCTTATGCCTTCAGTACAGCATCCTTGACTGATTTATAAGTTAGATCATTATCTAAAGCTGCATATGCCTCCTGGGCTTTTCCCGACAACACACACTGCAACAGCAAGGTTTGCTCAGAGTCTGACCAATTTCTTGCCTGTGCAACCCGCTCAAACAGTGTAAAAAACACATCCAGATCCTTCTCGTTAAACTTAGGCAAGAGATGCAAATTACTGACAATATCACGAGAACGCGATGATGAACCATTTCCCTTGTGAAAAACATCTCCAGAAAGCTTACCATCTCTGACTAATGCTATCTTTTCCTGTTCTATTTTGTACTGGAACCGCTCAATTTCCATTTGTTTCTCCACTTCCACTCTTTGTTTCTCCTTCTCATTCTCCTTCTCATGAAGAAACTGCAACAAAAGCAATTATTTTTGCTGCTCAAAGGTAAAGTTCCCTGATGGAACTGAAAGTGCCGGTGCTACTATTGACTGACCCAGTCCCACTTGTTTAGCAACCAGCACCCCTCTCTCAACCAACTGCTTTTTAACCATAGCCTTTACATTTTCCTTAAGTCGTTTATCACCAACACCACTTAAATCAATATCACACTTTTCTGCAATCTTGAAGAGCTGATCTCCAGAGCAATGATCCAGAACCTCCTCGCATGGAGCATCAACAAAGTCCTGTACCTCTGCCATAATAGACCAGGTCAAAGGCCACCACAAAACCAGACAGTGTTTTCTAGGTTAACTAGTTCCGTAAAAGAGACAATGATATATCGCCCAAACTAATGTGGAAGTCCCTCTACCTAGACTGCCTATACCAAACTAATCTACCTCACTGAACCCTAGTCTTCATGCAGATTAGCGGTAGGCTTTTTAAACACTTAAACCAGTAGCCCGGTTAAGCCCCCCAGCAAGCTGATTACTCACCTGACAGCTATGGATGTGTCCCCGAGACAACTGCTCTGACCGCACACCACACAAAAATAACAAACAAAAAAAACAAACCAACGCAGCCACACGGACCACTTTGCTTCACCTATCCAGGGACACTCCACAAAAGTCAAAAATTTAACACACTAGAGGACCATGTACTCACTGCTGCCCAAAAAAAATGCATCTCCCAAACACATTGTGTGCTGGACAAAATCATTATTACTCAGAATCAAATATCAGCCACAACCCAATCAATTTGGACGGACGAGCCCCCACTTGTCACAAACCGGGCCGAACGGCCATGACGAAAAAGGGAGACGCATTCAATGAAACGGTTGATTAAATATTTATTAAGTTTAAAGTAATGAAAAAGACTAACATAAACTAACAGTGACATGTGAAGTCAGTCATTTCAGTAGTGTAAGTGAGTGGGTGTGGCCCAAGCCCAAGCCCAAGCCCAAGCCCAAGCCCAAGCCCAAGCCCAAGCCCAAGCCCAAGCCCAAGCCCAAGCCCAAGCCCAAGCCCAAGCCCAAGCCCAAGCCCAAGCCCAAGCCCAAATGGGTGTCTCAGGAAGGAGCCACAGCCAACTGAAGATCCAGAGGGTTTTTATAAAGGGTGCACTGGCACACAGGGCCAGTGTTGCTAATTGCCTCAGGTGTCCCCACTCTGCCTGACGATCCTCTGCCACACCTGCAAGGAAAGCAGCCACACAGGCAGACAGGGTCGTCACAATATTGATATGAGCTTTTCACCTTCAGGAAATAAAGGCATTTCCCAAAATATTGAACCATTTGTCTTTAAAAAGTCTTGATGCATGAAGTCTGCATTAATGATTATGTGTTCATTCCAGTGATGCTGCTGCGTGGTTTCTTTCTGGCATAATAGTTTGGAAATGTGTGATGAAAAATAATCTGTTTTGGATTAAATTGACTGTGCATGCCAGAGTAATAAATATTATAAATATTGTCCCTATGCTTCAACAACACCCTTTTACAATAAGTAAAACTGTATTTCTGTTTGCATTTGGCCCCTTGAAGCTTCCATACAAATAGACTTCTCTCCTCTGCAGTCACTTGCTCTTTGAACAACGTTCTCTCACGTTTCCTCTGTACACACAACAGGTTTTCTCTGCAGGACGTCTTACTGCTTAGTGATCTAAAACATGGCGAGATCTTAAGGGATAATCGTCACTGGAACAAGGCTTTGTTGTGCTGATTGAACCCAAGCTCCCTTAAGACCTGAGGGGCCGCTGGTCCTCGTTTGGGTTTGATGCTTCACAGAAACAAAGAAACACCTCATGCTGAGTATGAAATGCAGTGAAATGAGATTTGGTTGTCATTATGAGTGTATAAATCTTATGAATGAAAACCTTCAGCACTGCTGTTTCAGATCATGCAGATGTTGTGCAAACCCCTTGAGTGATACCACTCAGAAAGAAGTGAGGAATTGTTTGAAGAATGCAAAAGTTAACTAAATCCTCATTTTTGATTCAATTTAAAGTTTTTTCGTAAAATGCTGTTTTAAGGTAAGAAGTCATTTATGTATTGAGGGCTTTTTAAATGTGTTTCTTTTTAATTTAATAGTTATGTATACATGAGTATCCACCATGAAACCTTTAATGACAAATGTTTTGCACTTTTCCTCTGACTACGCTTTCCAATAAAAGTAGTGTAGTGGACGAAAGTTACACATTGAAAATGTCACCTTGCTGCCCAAAAAATTAAATATAGTACACATTATTAAATTGTCAAAGAAAGCCGGCTCATTATTATGGAATGATATCTATTTTATTTCATTTCATAATAGTTTCTTTATTGCATGTCGTTTTATTTAATTGCAGCATTGATATCATCTACAATGACATTTGGTGGTTGTTTTACTTCATAAATTAATCTGTAATTGTAAAACAAGGCAAAATTATGTAATTGGCCAATCAGAGACTCTGATGACTAGTAACAGTATGAATTAAAACTGACTTTGGAAAATGTTGAATGCACAGAGTGCTGCACACATTCCCTTGAGCAAAAAAACAGTCCTAAAAACAGTCACATCTGAACCCGAAACATAGTATCACCGTCAGAGATCCGATTGATCTGAGCTCTCCACTGACCTAGTACATCGTAAGGAAATTTCCTTTTGAATTCACACAGTAGGATGGCATACATACTGATCGCTGACATCACTGTGTCAACAATAGCAAGTCACTGGAATGTGCAGAGTTGCCTGCCACATGCATGTATTCTGCACTGGATTGCTCTTTTAAAAACCACATTTGATTTTTTATCTCCTTCATCTCAGCAGACTGTTTGAATTGACTCTCTGGCTCCACTTTGCTATTACTGGCAGCACTTGTGACCCAAGCAATATTTGGCCTGATTTCGTAATTCACAGGAATATTGAAGAATTATGAAGAATTACCGTTCGGAGGATTTCTTGTCGGACGGTTTGCCAAACCAATCTGCTGCTTCACTATCTCCAAGTTACAAACTCAGGAGCTGAACAGGTGCAATGATGACTGAACCAGAGCAAATGCTTCGTCCCTCTATTGTGAGAGGACAGCCCATTGCACAAACAATCCCTGTTATGAGACTGATATGCTGATGTAACCGCCTCTCAAGAACAATATAATATACATATTGCACCGATGGCACCACCGAATCCACAAAGTTCCCATTGAACTGGAAGAGTATTTTGGGTTTTGGGGTGCTGTTGGATGCTATAACAAATGTCAAAGCGATCTTCTGTCAATGCAGTTCACATTTCTGCACAGTAGCTGGTGGTCTGTTCTTCGTTCAGTAATGGCAGCCAGCGCTGCTTTTGCTCACTACTCAGTTTTTTCTGTTGATGCTGCATATTTCCTGTCTACTCAAGGATTTCAAACAGTGAAACAGGATTTTCATTGGAGCAAACGTTTTCATAAACCAAAATAATTATAGTCATGTTGTGGGTATGAAAATGCTGTTTATTTCTACTTAAGTATTTGTGTATTTTAAAATGGCCTCTCTGGAATGTCCATTTCCTGAAAGATCAAGGACCTTGATAGCATTAGGCGAGTGCACATTGATGCAACTCTCCCGGTGGATTCAGGGAACCATCAGGGCTGTTAAGTCGAGGCATGACCACCACTGACTAAAATAAAAAATAATCTTTTATAATACATATTTTTATGTATCTTATAAATCTCTCAGGGCATGCTTTTCTGTCTCTTCTTTGGTGTATCACTGTAATGTCTGTTGGCTGTGTATTATTTGATGTGGATTACAGCTGTGTGCAGAACTATTGCCCGAGACATAAAGTATATCTTATATCTTGTCTTATCTTAATAGCAACGGACCAAGCAAATGGAAAAGCGGTTGGGCGGCTGCCAACATTTCATCAACAAGAAGAGGCTGATTCGAGAAAAATAATGCAGTTGTGCTACGGGAAGAGGTATCAAAGACAACACAAATGTACCAGAGAACTGCTGTTTGAAGTCCCATCTTTGGTCACAAACTACGTTGGTGATTAAAAAGAAGAAAACAAGATAAAATGACAGAGTCAGTTTAGTTTGTAAATAATTTAATAAGACAAATGAGGAAAACAAAACCAATGTCACTGCATAATTAGAGTTACACATATATTTAAAGTGATGTTTTAACTAAAGAAACAAAGTAAAACTGAATACGACTTTTTAAATCTACAGATGGGTAAGGCCATATGAACCCTTTGTAACCTGCATGGAAACATCTGCATCTGTGTGTTTCTCCCCTCTTTCATTCAAGGGTTTTCCTTTGGTTTATCACCCGTCTGTCTGTGCAAACAGTTCATGGAAATTATGGTGGCTTTGAAGAGAGCATTGATAGCGGCTTGTGTTGGTCTCACAGCAAGGTACAGTGGTGAAAACAGTCTAAATACTTCAACTGATGTTGACTTTTTTAACGTTCACTTCACTTTAAATAATCCAAACAATCCCTTTGCAAAAATATGAGAAAGAAATTTGATCAAATTCACACGTTTACTATAATTGCCTTTTAGATATTGTGCCATAATACACACAAGGACTGTGCATCAATGTTGCTATTTATTTGATTCATATACATCACTATTTAACTAACCATATGAGACAGGCCTATGATATCAAAATCTTTAACTTTCTTGTAATGATAGTAGCCTAGCAACTTAAAATGTAAAAATATTTCTAACTGATTTGTAGTTTGTTATTGCAGGTTTTAGACAGGCTGCAAATATCACAATTTTAAATGTTGCTTTAATCTGGAAGCGTTTTCATTTCTAGTCTACTGTGTGAACATTGGAACGAATAACTATAGATTTCAGATGAAAACAGGAAAATGTGAATGCTTTTGCAGAGTAAGGTGAGTACATTAACATGAGTACATTATTGTATACAAATCATCAAGTACACACTACGATGCAGGTCTAGCAACATTAGTGCATATCGTGTGTGTATTTCCATTAAATATAGTATGGTACCTAGCCCAGTAAAATAGCACAACAATATCACAAGGAAAGAGTTTTAAATATAAATGTAAGCACTCCCATCCCAGTCGACAGTCTCTGATGTTTAAATAGGAATCTCAGCTTCATTTCAGTCCATTACGAACTGTTACAACAACAAACGCGGTCACATAATGCTCAGCCTCCTCCTCATGAGTCCTGCGTCATTACTGGTTTCTGCAATCAGAGAGAGAGACAGACGGAAACAACCGATGATTGGCTGTAATTAGTAATTAGATAATCAATCATTTCATGCTCTGATTGGGTTAACTGATTCATTGTTAGCCATGAAATCATTCATAGCAACTGAGACACAAACATGAATACAATAGGAAGTACGTGCTGGCCTATATAAACCTTTTGATGACTTATGAATCATCGTGTTGTGAGTGATTACTGCAGGCTGAAGAAAAGAAACGAACAACGTATTTAAATCACATTAAAGGGGAAATCAATCACCATGCATTGTTTCCTCTTAAAGTATCACAAGTGTGTAGAGAGATCTAAGCAAATAGTAATCAAAGGGAAACGAAAGCTCTTGTCTTACTGTGATCTATAGCTGTGGCTTCTAGAGACTGGACCATAGCTTGGGTTTTTGTTTTGCATATTGCACGCACACTAATACATGTTTAAGCATTGCAAAAAGGGTCTCATTCATAGTTAAAGAAGATTTCTTTTTTTTAACAGGATACACCTGAGAAGTATATTGCATGGCTGTCTTTTAAATCTTGACCATTAACTTTAAGTGCTTTCCAGAAGTCGTGGCAGTCAAAGCAGCAACACCTGTGTTTTAAATTCTCATAATAAATCACAGTAAACAGGCATATCATTTTCATAACCAGTGTTTCTTTTGCTAATCTAATCGAACCTTTTGATGGCTCTAAGTTCTTTTGGCTCTAAGTTCTTTTGGCTCTAAGTTCTTTTGGCTCTAAGTTCGTCAGGCCAAATTAAAGACGTGTAAATAAACACATTGTTTAATACCAGAACAAAGATAGGGTCTTTGTCTAGTATAAGAAATTAAGAAAATGAAACAATTTAATATTAGCTGAATTGAATAACTGAATAAAGTTAATTGGGACATTAATCATACCATCTCAATAATGCAAGAATTCGATAGAATTGTTATATTTGATTGAAAAAGAAGAAGCAAAAATATAAGGAAATACAATTATTTAAAACCATCACAAAGCCTGATTGGAAATGAACCACCAGATGATCCACCAGCAGAAGAAGTTAAAGCCCAGTGAAGAGTTCCTTTCCAACATTAGATCCATTTGAAAAAATAAATCTGAGGAAATGGTGTGACATTTTTTATAAATCCACTATTTGCTATCTTGCCAAGAGATGAGAAAATCATACCACTCTTATGTCACACTGTTAAATGTAAGGCTACAGCTTGCTGCCAGTTACATTAGCATAGATTAGCACAGCTAGCCTAGCTAGGTCAAAAGGTAAAACACTGCACCAGTACGAGCACCTCTAAAGCTCACTAACCACAGCATAAAAACAACAGGTTGTGGTGTAAAGGGGGGGGGGGACTTCCAAATGTGTTAATGTGGATTTTTTTTTACTTTTAGATAGAGCCAGGCTAGCGGTTTCCCTTTCCAGGGGGACTGTCCATTGTTGTGATGGCCCAACAGTCCAACAATGTTGCATTGGACCAAAAGCCTGTGTGTCCGACAGCCCGGAAAACAAATAGGCATTGCTCCAGAGGCTTATTGCTTCGAAAATATACACTCTCCCTGCAACAATTAGCAGCACGTGGCTAATTATTTTGCAGAATATCATCAGATCGTCCTCATTTTTTTCATACTATTGCGAAGGTATGACCCGCCTTACTCTGCCTCTGATTGGCAAGTACTCGTTGCCTTTGTCGGTCGGGTTGGTTCGGTTTAAGATTGAGGAGTGACATTAGTTAAGGTAAGGGTAAAAATATCAGGGTAAACCAATCAGAGACAGAGTAGGGTAGGTAATGTCTTACCATAGTTTTTTTTTTTTTTTCAAGATATCGGGCTGTTGGGCAAATGGGCTTTTGGTCCAATGGGATATTTTTCAGACTATTGGGGTTTCAAAACAATGTTATGGCACCATTTCCAGGCTTTATGCTAAGCTAAGCTTCCCGACTCTGCTATCAGTCTTCTAATCTAACTCTCAGCAATAAAGTGTATTCCCCAAAATGTCTGACTTCTTTACGTTGACCGTTCAATATCTTCAAGACAGACAATCCAGATTATTTAATTTTGTTGTTGCCATACATACATTTTTCATAGATTGTTTTTCTCAAATGGTAGCTATATGATGTTGGAAGTGAACTCTTCAATGCACCCCGTGCCGTACAGTGGGGTCATACCGCACAGGTGGCCCTGGTCTTGGGCTTAGCCACTGGGTTCCTCTGTGTCAGGGAGCCCCTGTAGAAGGAGTTTCTCACAAACTTGTCCACCCGGCCTGCAAACATACAGCAGCTGCATTGTACATCCATGTTCTACTGGCTGGCTTTTTAAAAACTTAGTACAGATATGAAGTCAGATTGTGGTTTCCTATTTCATTTTGTTATGAACCTAAAATTGTAAAATTACAGATGGAGACTAGCTATGACATTATTGGGAAAGTGAATTAGAAGCATTCAGTCTTCTCTTAACAACAATTCTTGAGTCTACATTGCCCCAGTAGATGTTCCCAGTAGCAAACACCTACTGTAAGGTTAACAAACGTATTGCATAACCACTATTCTGCCTTGAAACATTCTTCCATTTATAGCTGTGGGAATCCTGCCTGTAGAGAATTTGAGTATCTGACATACAGCTGTAGTGCAATAGGACGCAGTGTTCCCCAGCTCACAAAAGAGATCATCATGTGTTCCGAGTTTAACAAGGTTAAGATATTCTGAGTCAGGCGGAGGGCTCTGGGGATCACGCTCAAGGGCAGCAGTGTCGGTTCTTACTTGTGGGAAAGTTGTAGGAGAGTCTTCTTGCTTGGATCGGGATTGCAGACTAGAAGCCACCAAAGACAAAATCAAAAAGAAAAGAAAAAAAATTTGAATGTGGGAAATATATGGCCCATCAGCCATTTTGGCACCTTTTGAAGGTAGAAATATTTATCAGAGACAGACCTGCTGAGGGGATAGAAATGATGTTATTGGTTGATTTGAATCGCAGGGTGCGGGGCCACAGAACTAGGAGTCGTATTCAACACCATCAAGTCCGTGCACTATCAGTAAAAATGTACTGTGTAAGTATCACGCCATTTCTTAACTGATTACTTCCCTTTACAGAACACGCAAATTCTCCAAGAAATATTTGACTAGAGTTCTTCTCTAATAAGTCAAAAGCTACTTTAATCAAGATATAGAAAACGAAAAAGATAGAAGTGCAGAGATACAATAAAAAACTAAAAATAAAAAACCATAGAATAAGATTCATTAAGTGAAGATAATGTAGCAGTGATGGTAAAAACGGCAAAACACTACAAATGAATGTGACTCAAGTGTCTGTTCATCTTAAAACAAATCAACACTGGGGTTGAACACTAGATGTAAAAGAAAGAACCACTCTCCAAACTATTTTTATCAGTGAGTTTGCATTCATGGATAATGCACAAATGTGTTAAATTGTTAATGTCAGATATGCAGGCCTACTAATTAAATGCATATGTTACTGATTACACTTCATCATAACTGCACAGAGTGCAGGCTCTTTGCATTTGAGTTTCAACTCCCAATGAGTGCTGAGCTTGATTTACTAGCAAATCATTTGAGGCATTTCGCTTCTGGCTCATCTTAAACGAGCCTCTAAAGTCAACCAGTTGGAATAAAAGTTGCCTTCAGAACAATATCAAAAGTATTTTACACCATCAGAGATGTTCACATTAACCTGCTCTGACTCTAAAACTCTGGCATACACTCAAATGAACTAAATGTCTTTACCTTTCTTCTCTTATCCACTGGCATGCCAGCAGCATTCAGGGCAGCGATCCTGTTCTCTATGTAAGAGACCTTGGGAACAAAAAGAGACACAGGGAATCTGCACACTTTTCTGTCTCTTCAAAACAGATCTAATGTGCCAACTAAGCTTAACTCAGCTTCTGGTTTTAGCTTACCTCACTCTGGGCGTTCTGGACGTTGGCTGCTGCTTGAGCTACCTTGTCCTCCAGCTCAACCAGTAAGGCCGTTGAGCCTTTGAAACCTGCCTTCGACCCCTCCTCTAGGGGGTGCCACTTTCTCTCCAGGCTGTCTGTTGAGTGGTTTGTCTTCAAGACAAATGTGAGGAAATAAACAAAAATATATATATGAATGAGTATTTCACATCAAAACTTCATCAAGCTAATTTCTTTTGTGTGGGTGGTTGGGCATTCAATCCCTTCATTAAATAATCAACAGTAGAGTGATGCCAGAATGACATGCAACAAAGGTTCCCGGCTGACTCGGGGTCAGTGCTTATACCTTGTTGGCCACCAGTGAACCCTGACCAAACTCTTTTTGAACATAACATCATACAACATCAAAACTATTGAATTTAAGCCATTTATTTAGACCTGAAATGTTTTTAAAGTGAAAATGATTTGGGTTAAGAAAAAGATTATTGGCTAATCTCAATCAATCTCTTTTTTTTCTGAAAATGTTTGTTTAGAATTGACTATTGTAAATTTGTGCTTTCTCTATATGTATACCTTAACGGACATTTAGTTGCCTGGACGTACCAAAACCACAAACAACAGTTTAGAAAAAAGGCAGTTTGTGATCCATTTTTGCAGCTTTAATTTATAACAGTTTTGAAAAAACACCGACAAATAATGTGGTCCTGTTCAGAAGTATTGAGTCTACATTGCCCCAGTAGATGATCTCAGTGGCAAACACCTACTGTAAGGTTAACAAACGTATTGCAACCATATATAGTACAATATGCCTGTGGGAATCCTGCATGTAGATAATGGTTTTGGTATTTACTATATAAACAGCATCTCCCAGAAGCACCGACTATAGTCAATGAAGCACAAAAAGTTGTGGTTTGAGGACAATTAGAACAGAAGGGCTGCTGTGAGATCACAGGTCGACCTTTGCTCCTTCAGCCAAACTGGAAGCAAGACAGCCGTGCTGCAAAACCATCACAAGTTCATCAGGTCATAACTGAGTGTTCTCCTGCTTGTGTTATGTGATACTTTAAATCCTTAAGAGAGGGCATGCAGTTTGAACAGGCCTATAGTACAGTGATGTTAGTAACACAATATCATTACACACCAGAGCACCGTTAGCTGTTAAGGGAAAGAAATGCCAGAACAAAACGTTCAGGCAGCTTAGCAGAGCAGCTAAAAAAGAGTTATTTTACTATAGTCCACTCTGTGTTTCAGTTGCAAAGGAAAAATAAATGCTAAGGCTGAGTGACTTGATTTATGACTAGTGTGTGCTTCAAATGGATTCCTGCAGAGCTGGTATGGAATTTCATGAGCCAGGATCTTTTCCTCCGAGTTTGGAACAGAATGTGCTACAATCCAGATGTGCAGTGTGTATGTTTCTGATGAACTTTCTGGCATCAAATGCTTGTGTTGTGAATACAAAATCTTATTTTTTCTACTGATGTTTTGCTCATTAAATCTGCCACAGCTGTCTGTACCTTCTGAGACTCAGTCAGCTGAGGCTGCTCCTCCTCAAGACTGCAGAGAACGATGCTTGTCTGGGATGTGGGTCTAGTCGGTATTCTGGTGGGCTTGGCCTCCCCCTCTGGGCTCCTCCATGCTGGGATCTCTTGGGAGGAGTGCGGCCTGCTGGGCTCGTCCTCGTCAGAGGTTAGACCGTGGTCACTGATGTTGTCCGTCATCTCGTGCAGCTTCTGTCTCAGTTGCTGCTCCTCTAAGTCCACTTCCTCATACTGAGGAAGAGGAGAGGTGCTGTTTGGAGTCGGAGGAGCCTGGCTGGTCTGCAGGAACAGAGCAGAGAATATGTGTTTGATTTAGAATGCATTGATTGAGTAGAAAGCAGTTGGTGAAGTGCCTGAGGGGTTTACCCCTAAAAATAACAATTCATTCTTTTTTAAATAATACCATACAGCAACACTAGGGCTAACTAGCTCCACCACAAGTGCATTGTCCTTTAGCCCATTCGGAACGGAACAATAACTTGGCAGAAATTGCAAGCTACTGCAGCGTAGCCGAAAATCGCTCATTGACTCCACGAAAGTGAAGAAAAGTTTGGTTGTAACGTTAGTGAACTGCGGCTGTAAAGGCCCACTGCGGAGGACATACTCGACTCCCCTGAGAGCCCTGATACCCCGCCCCCACTTGCTTCTATAGCAAAAAGATAATTAATATTGAACGCGCAGCATGTTTGAATTGCACTTAATTCGACAAAGCTTTCTCTTGGTTCCACAGCTTGGTACCCCGCCAAGGGTGAAGTAAATCTGATGGACGGTTCTTGAGATATGCAAAGGACACACATACATTCATACAAACAGAAAGAGATGCCTTGCTATGCAAGTAGATCATCAGCTGCGGAGGATGCAAACTTTTTGCCTGGGACATGTAGTTTCTTTCAGCATGAGCAGTTATCGCTTCAGCCCATGAAAGCGATGGTCATTGCCAAAAACGAGAAGTCGGCTTTTGTCTACTTCTGTGTGAAATCAAAGGCCCAGTGTTCCAACAATTGAAGCAATTTTCCAATTGGTAAAAGTGCCGCTATCATCACTGTAAACTGCATGTGTGATAAACTGTTGACTTGTTGCCCTGCTTTCTGCACAATGCATATTGGCCAAGGGTCCCCCCCCCCACCATGCCACTGTGCATTCTTAAACAGGAACTAGCAGGTCTAGAAAACGGATAGATGGGTCATACAGTACATGGATGCATGAGAGCGTGAGAACTCCCCTGTTCCTACACTCATCAGCTGGACATTAACACAGACATGCTGCGTGCAGACTCTGCTCAGACAAAACCAGCCAAACATATGCTATATATATGCTAATACTGTTTTTGTGGGTTGGATCATTCTCTGATTATATTGGTGTGGATTTCAGATACCAAACCCACATGAGACATCCGTGTTGATGAGAGGAGGATGAATATGAGGAGCTGTGTGCCTCTCTTTATCAAAGATTAAATAATGAGCTGCAAATAAAATGCCTCATTTTTAGGAGGGATCATTTGCTGAAAACAAAACAATCAAATCAATAAAATTGTGAACTGTTTGAACTACACTGAGATAGATGCCACTTAAAGCTGCATTGACTTGCTTTTTTTGGGGCCACTTGGGGCCAAAATGAGCTGTAAATATAACACTGACATATCATTTTGTAAAGTTGACCTGTGTTTGTCATGAGGAGCAACTCCTTTGACTTTGCACATCGCCGTTTGAGCCATAGTTCATGAAAAATACTGATTAGTGCAGCTCTAAGGCTGCCATCATACTATTTAGTTTTATCATTAGCAACAATGTCTTTAAAGGTAGAACCATCCATTATATTTATCCTTAACCGCTTATTCTGTGCAGGAGTATTGCAGGGCTGACAGAGACAGACGCTCACACCCCCACCAGAACCAATAATGATGTAATCATGGTAACAACTACACTTAGACGTATCATACTTCACTCCTCACCAACGGCGACGAGTACAAATAAATACAAAGCACCGAGCAGACCAACACTAAAAGGTTCCCTTGCACATGATTACATTTTCAAACAGGTAAGTGTTCGAAGCCTCTGCACACGTATGGAAACCTGGCGGTCACTCAGGGTTCATTCCAGAAAAGTCTGCGAAGATGAAGGCCAAGTTCCAGTATATGATCTCCACCAGTCCTCACAGACTTTAATCATCATCAGCTGTGTGTGCAGCAAAGACCTGTGAATGCAGGAGGGTGCTGTCTGAGGGAAGACAGGACTTCCTATGTTGCTCTGGAACATGTGGCCAGTCAAGTGCAAGGTTCATATTTCATGTGTAGTTTAATAAAAGTGAATGTTTGCTGCTCACTTTATTGTTGGTATGTCACTTTCTACTTTTTGCAGCATGTGATGAGACCATCGAAGGACTAATCACAGTCCCTGTTGCTATGGTAATGTACACGCAAACATGTTCTTGTTTTTTCCGATTTGAACTTTCATTCTCCTCATCTAATTCCCAAAGCCTCCTTCTGCAACAGCTGGGCTGAGGTTTGATGATGGTTATTAATGATTACTTGGCAACTGTGATGTGATATTTGAATGGATTTACCTCATAGTATGTTGAGGTGACCTTCTGCTCCAAGTGGTTCAAGAGGGTCTCAATGGCTGACATGCGTCTGTTCAGGTCAGTGATCTGGAGGAAGACGGGGAGAGTCAGGGAGGCTACAGTCAGATGATGAAGACAAGATATGATGAAGAACGTCATCCGGTAGTAGGATATCAGAGGCATAAAGGAATGATTGCATTAGAGTAAAAAGTTGGAGAACACAAGAAAAGTCACCACACATGTATTAATAGTCTCTTCAAAACAAGAGTATAGTATACAGGGTGCTGTTGAACTCACGCTCTGAGTAACAACGTGCAATATGACATCAATTTCCCTCAGACTGAACAAATCAAACATCATCAGAGTCTGAGCTCTGAGCCACATCCCCTCATCCCCAAATGTGATTTCACTGTAATTGAGAGGGTCCGCTCTGACTTGGGCGAAGCCACAGCAGTCCAGATGCAGAGAGAGTAAATCTTGACTAAAGTGGCTCTTTTGGATAATGGCTCATGATGCAATAATACCTTTTTATTTTTTCCACGGGGTGCCTGGGTTCAGAAACAGTCATCTTCAAATCAGGAAGTCAAGCAGACAGTCATGAGCCAAGTCATTGCCCTGGGTTGTTGAAATTCTGCCTCTCATTCCTAAGATTCCCAAACCCAAACCATGACCCCTTCGCTAAACATAACCACATATAACCTAATCATAATGGTGCATTCAGAAGACCCTGTGTACATATCTGTAGAAATATCTGTACATATCGTAGAAAGACGTGTTCCATCAGGCGCCTGTGAGACAGCTGACTGAAAAAGACCTTTGAAAGGCTTCGGAACACGGTTCGGAAGATTATGGCCACATGTGAAAAGTTAATTTGAGTTTAGAGTCACAAGTCTGACTTTCATCTCAGAATTGTGCCTTTATTCTCAGAATTCTAATTTAAGTCTAAGAATTTTGATTCTTAATTTATTCTTAGAATTTTGACTTTAATCTAATATTTCTGAATTTATACTTAGAATTTGGACTTCATTCTCAGATTTTTGACTTTAAACTCAAAATTCTGACTTTAAATTTAGAACTTAAAATAAAATGTTGACATGTGGCCCGAACTAAAACTAATTTTTTCATGTTGCCCTGGTACTCTTCTGAAGCGGCAGAGCACTTCAGTCCAAAATCTCCCGTAGGCCTTCAGATGGGTTGAGATCTGGATCATTGAGCCCTGGTACCTTGTAGGGAAGCTTCTGTTTCTCCACTTTATAATAACCATCAGTTAACAAATACACTGTATATAATGTAATAAATTGATAGTCGTTTAAAGCATGTTAATAGTTATTTTACTGTTAATAATGAATGCATTAACAACATTATTGTTGCAACAATATTGCATTATTAATAATGCAATATTGAGATTTTATGATTGTTTCTACATAATTAGTTTAGAAATGATAAATTCTATCGAACAATAAAAACTACTTTTTAATAGTTTATTGTTGTACTCATAACATTTTATATACTACATCAAGTATTTGTTAATGATTACCAAACTATTTTTAAACCTTAAAAAATAGTTTGTAACGATCTATAAACATTATTTTGATGGCTTTTATGAAGTTGCAGCAGATGATCATAATACTTGTTAAAAAGGTTCATGAATACTTAAAGTAAAGCATCTATAAAGATTATATCGATAAATGGATCAGAAACCAATTAATAACCAATGACAACATTTTAACATCTATCTTAATATGTTTATAGAATATGTTTTATGGTTTATTCATGATTTAACAAAGCATTACAATAATCAGCTGCAACTTTATGAAAGCATCCAAATAATGTTTATAGATGCTTTACAAACCATTTCTCTACAAATCATTTGGTAATCATTAACACATTCTTACTATAGTATCTAAAATGTTAAAATCTGTGCAACAATAAACTCTTTAAAGAAATTATAGCATCACTAGTAATGAGTAAACATTATGAATTATCATTTCATTGTTTGTTAACAGCAAAAATACTATCAACTAAAATTTAATTCATAATTTATTTTTATTTAACTTGAATTTAACTTAAACATGTAAAATCTTCTTGAGTGATCCCACTGTCTTATCTGTCTTATCCCACAAACAAACCTAATCAAAGTGGATTTGTCCCTTTATTTCAAGCGCTCCAAATCAGAATCAAATGGAGGGGAAGCGACATTTGTCTGCAGGATGAGCAGCTGGTGTCTGAGGGATCCTGGTCCTAAGCCAATGTGAAATACCACGGCAGCTTTTGATGTCTGACAGGCACATGTTTGGGCTGTGTGTTTTCTGCAGCATCCTGTTTGTGTCCCTCAGTCAGTGTGTTGGCCAGCTGTGAGACAACTTTGCCATGACACCACATATCGAAGGCGGAAATCATGATAAGGCCAGTTGGGACACCAGCCATCCTTAATAAAGAATATCAATTCGGATAGTCTGAGTCAAATGTTGTGGAAATGTATCATACCATTCTTTTAGTTTAATAACTTGTATCGCTTAAACCTGAACATATGCAGACGAGGCCAACCAGACTAATTTAAAACCTAATAATAAATGTTATCATATCGAAGGTATTTTAGCATTTCTGGCTTGCTGTAGTGTCATCCTGATCTCACCACGAAAATACAATGCCAATGCCGGGAACCTGGCCTTGGTGGATGCATCGGCAGGCAGAGGAGGACATCTGCGAAGGGGGGGGGGGGACGAGATAATGTGCATATATACTCTGTTAAACTATTCCTTGTTGTTAGACCTCCGAACCATCTGTGGGGAAAGAGCTCTATCCATTCAGCTGAAATATTATTAGTGTCTGTTCAATAAATATGTTTTTTATATTTAAGAGTTTTCTCATCTCGGTTATTTCTCACAGGGAGGTTAAAAAGATTATTTTCCACCACATCAAACATCAATAATTAAAAATTAAAAAAGAGAAAATGATATTGATCTATTTGAGTTTGGGATATAGTGTGAAAAACCGCTGCAGTTCTTGCAGATGTTCTTGGTGTCTGTCTGAAGTAGTTGCAAAATCCGTTGATCTTCCTGCATCCAGTGACGTGACAGTGACGACGTTGGAGTAAGGAAGAGCTACAGAGTGCTACCTCAGCATTATTAGCTGTGGGGCGCAATGACAAAAAGTACTTGTTTTCTTCGCTTGTATTGCAAACTAGTACATTTCCAACACTGAAAATGTCATCCCCAAAATATGATTGCAGAGGATGTTAAGGACAAGGATCATTACAGTGTAAATTTGACAGGCTGGCCGTATTCAGCCAGAGAGAGGATATGACCGGGGAGACCCTCTTGAATCTGACCTGCCGAGAGCAAACACAGACTAATGGTTGCTTTGCTCAAAATACCCACCGATGCCAACAGAAACAGAATCATTGTGCTGTAATGAATGTCAGTGTGGGCAGTTTTTATTTGATGCTGTAGCCGACGACAACGAACCGAGAGAGCGAGCCCTGTGTGCCTTCCTATGCATGAAAGTTTTCCCCATCACTGGGAAAAAACAACCAAGACCAGCAGGGCAATTCAAGCCATTTTTGTCATTGTTATTTGCTAATTTAATAGTCTGCCTCTGTAGAAGAGCCGCCAATGAGCCACTGCAACTCCTCAGCTGCTGGCACGGCAGAGAGAGACAATGGGGGAAAACATTTTCACTTACTTTTATACTTACTCAGGGAATTAAGGACTTATTTTGACCAAACCGGAGTAGCTGATTGTTGGAACAGTGGAAAGACGGATGTCTTGTTTGGTAAAAGAGAGAAAAGCTTGAATTCAGAAGGTGTGCAGTTGTATTTTTCTGTTTCGGTGGGAAAATATTTCCTTCATTGACATTTTGTGAGTGTGTTTAGTTTATTTCTCAGACTGAAAGAGAGCTCGCCGCTCTTGTGCAATGCATCCTGGTACATGTAGGCACAGCTGGCATGGCTCCACCAGCAGGAGACTTCAGCTTTCTCGGTCAACACAGCACACACTGGAGAACTTATTTCTTCTTCAGTGGACTACATTTACCATCAGCACTGATAGATCCACATAAAATATGTCAAATTTCCCCTTTAAGTTCCACAGCTGGTCTGAATCCAATCAAAGACACATGCGCCCAACAGTAGGGCACACGAGGACACAAGTAGACTCAGTGATTACTGACAGCAGTAACAAAAGTCAGCCAAACTAATGATGAAAAAAGTCTGTTTTTTATCTGCTCACAACAGCAACAGTTGTGGCGATCCTTTCCAGGGACGGAGTTGTATATCACATAAATAGACACTGATGTAATGTATTTAACCCCCCTCTGATCTAGCAGCTGTCTGCCCTACATCAACTCAACGTGTCAGCCCGATCAACTTGTGTGTGTGTGTGTGTATTAGAGGCTCAACATGTGCTGCTCGAAAGACCTGGAATATCAGAAGGAAAAGCAGCCCTGCTAGCTTTTGTCTTTCAGAAATGTGAATCCAAACCACAATTCATTATTGTACAGATCATATACGTTTTTTTGGCAAATCTTTCTCACAACCCGTAGTTTTATGAGTTTTGTTCATGGCCTCATCTTGGCCTTTATTGCACATTTTAGCAATGAAACATTCCTTCCAACACAGCGGGTTGCAGTGAGCTCAGAGCTATACCATGTGGTCAAATGTGGCTAGTTTAATATATATATTTATATATACGTATGTACATAAAAATCCAGTCAAGTCTACCACTTTGTCCACTTTTTAGGTTGATTCCCATGCTGGGGTAGTAATATAACAAAATGCCTCAAGATGATGATACAGATGTTCAGTTGGTCCCCTACCAACATGTCAAATAAAAGGTTTCCTTGGTTTATCTTGGTCTAAAATGACTTTTAGACTGTGCCAAAGTCTTGCATGTCAAACTTTTATGATGAATCAATAAAAGCCATATGGATATGCATCAGTAAAGTTAATTGATATAAAACAGTATATGTGCAGTGATGGGAATAGATTGCGTGAGGAGGTTGAACATTGTGAACTATGATTGTCCCATTTCTGATTCCTAGTGTGTTTCGGTTGTGGCTGTTTCCCTGCAGGTTCCCTTGTGTTTAACCTTTCTCTGTGTCTCTAGCACTCCTGTATGTCTCTCTCTTCTCATTTCTCCGTTTGTACATCCTCGATTCCTTTCCTCGCCTCTTCTCCCCGCTTCTTAGTCCCTCCCACCGGAGATGCAAGCGGAAGAGACGAGGAAGAGACGCAAGGAGAGAGGAGTCGAGGCAGCGGGCATTTCAATTAAATATGACATGTGGCACAGCTGCATCATCTGTCCTTTGTCACAGCTGTTTTATACGTCACCGGTGACAAAAATACCAGCAAAGGCTACACCTGTGCATCCTCGCTCATAGCTCGGGCAAGCCTCCTCTCTCCCATCTTCTCTATACTCAGGATCCATTTTAGGAATTTATACATCCTGCAAGATGGCACGCTGTGATTGATCTCCACATGCCTGTATTGGCGTGATCATCCTTCCAGGCTCCTGGTGCGGTCAACTCACACACCCGCCTGCAATCGGCTCATCATCCCTCCCAGTCTACATTCCCGTCTCCCATCAGCTCATGTACCTTCAGGTTATCTTCTCCGGCTCTTCATCCACTCCTCGCTAGATTGATGATCACTTACGCTTCACGCTGAACTCAAAGACTTACTCTAGTGATTTTGCCTCCTGCTGTTTTTCCTTCTCTAATGTTAGTCTCGTTGTTCTCCAGGATCCTCACCCGCCTGCCAGTCTTCCTGCCTGTCTGTTTGCCTGCCAACCCTCACGCCAGCCTCACCATTATTATTTTATACACAAACGAGGAACGAAAAACCGAGGCAAGCTCTCACCTTTATCTATCTCACACATATCTTTGAGACAGTTATGTAGTCGGTTGTTGTGAATGTGGTGCTTTCATGCTTTCTGCTGCTGCTGCTGGATCTCCATTCATCAGCCCCCCTCATATTTATCCCCCGATTGAATAAAAACTCTGTCTCACCACCTGTCTGGTCCGTGTCCTGTGTTCAGGTCCCAGACGTGTTCCTAATATGTGTATGTGTCTATATGTGCAGAATACGCCTGCGCACAGGATTGGTTTTGAGCCGATAACAAGTAATAACAGGGCCAGAATCCCTGCTATTGATTTATATTGCTAAAAGCAGCTAATATACTTTTATGTGGGGGAGAGAACGGTTTAATGATTCACGAGCTGAATGCATCATTAATAAGCTACTTTGGGAAACTGGATTTACAGATTTATAAACATTCAGGAATTTAGTGTAAGAAAATAATATGACTCATAATAAAGACCTGCGGTGCGGGGTTCGGTGAGGTCAGGCTCTCCTGGGCGGTGTGGCTGTGGGGGCCTGGATGAGACTGGTAGAGAGGGTAGAGCTGGCAGTGGTCGTCTTCCTCGGAGTCCACAGGACCGGGCAGATAGCTGCCGCTGCTCTGGGGGAACCAAGCACTCCCACTGCCACAGGAGGAGTAGCTGAGCCGGGAGACGGAGCGAGACGGAATAGTTTGACCGTCTGGGTACGCAAGGTCATCTGGAAGAAATATGACGGCAAAATAAAAATGTCACTTCTCATGGTAAATTGTTTGTATTTAATCAATGCTACACAGTATGATAAGCTGAAAAGAAGCCGTGCATTCTGATCTGTCACCATGACTGTTACAACAGTAACATGACCAACTGGTCCTGGTGCTGTGCTGATGATACATTACTTTTTATCTAAACCAACAGATTTGATGTTGTTAACTAGCTAACTTGCCAAGGCAACTTTTTTTAAAGCAGGTTGCTTACAAATGACTTATATGTGAAATAAAATAAGTGGAAAACAATGGGAGGAATGTAGCTCTAATAAAATACACACAGACATGACATACAATGAGGACAACGTGGCCACATTGTTTAGAGAAGTAATCAGCCGTTGCAGAGCTCTGTAATAGCCAGTTGGCCTTTTTTTTTTAGCTCTCTGTATTTTCCTTAAGCTTCGTAGGTGAGTGAACATTGTTACTAACACTACAGTGTGGGATCTGAGATGTGTTTTGTCCTGTCTTGCTGTGGAGCTATTCCCAGGTCCAGACCTTTGCCTTGATCCTTGAATATCCGGTGGAAAACAGAGGCCACATCCGCCTCAGCAAGCATCGACTCCCTCTCACCTACATCCATGTCCATGATGTCTTGGGAGACGGGCGCCTATGAATGAGGATGGAGAGTGGTCAGAGCTAATTTTGACAAAAAATCAGTAAAAAGGAGCTAATGATGCTGTTTCAGGCTTAGCTGGAAACTTAGCACCAGAGGAAGAAGGTGGTTGAAGGCATCGGGATTGTCCCCGGTTTAATAAACTGAGGGCAAGAAATGATAACAATGACAATAACAAGACATATTGTATTGTTATTCCGAGCTACATGATTATAAGAGAATCCCTGACATTGGTGAATTTGGTTTCCCGCTAGTAAAATCATTAATAGTGGCACATATACTCTTATTCATACTCTGCAGGCAGATTAAAGTTACTATGGACTGCCCGGGGCAGACTGTCTGTACCCTGCTGCTGTAAAATGAGAGGTTTTCTAAGGGCACTGGGGCACGGAAACACTGCCACTTTTGTCCACAGGGGCCACCAAAATCAACACAAAATGTGTTCCTCGTGGTAGATTTACATACATTTTCGTGTATTGACTAATAACAGAAATAATGTAGTTAAACAAAGATAATATAGAATGAATCTATCTATATTTATAAAACTACAACTGAGGTGACCAACCTCTTAATTTAGTGTTTTACTGGCATTAGTTTGGTGTGTGGATGTTTGGTATGTTGGTCATGGCCAATAATGCAACACCTCTGCTTGTATAAAGGCACGAAGATTAGTTTGGTTTGGGGAAAAGCTGGTTCTGAGGTCATCCAGCTTCTTTCTACCTGATTCGGTTGTCCTCTCGATTGGATCAAGTAGTCGCAGCCCAGTTCAAAATCAAAGGGATCGACGGTTAACCGCCTTTTGGTCTTTTTCGTCTTCGGAGAGCAGAAAGGGAAACACCATCACCAACAGAGAGGAGAGAGTAGAGAGGGAAGAGAGATGATTCAAATGAAAATGTGTAGACCTGAAGAGAGTAAGGATTCACAAATCCTCACCGCTGCAAAACACTTGCACGACCGTGCGAATGCCTAAGCACGCCTTGGAAAACATCAACATACATATTCCCCAGCAATCATTACTACATACATGACAAAAATACCAAAGAAATAAGAAATGATTCTTATAATTGAATTAAATCATTTTATAGTTTATGTAGAGTAAACATATCATGTTGTTAAGTATTGCTACTGACTATTTAAAAAAAAAAAGGATAACCGTGACTGAGTTGGTTTTGCATTTTTGAGGGGATATAGTATTTAACAAATGGCACTAGTATTGAGCTAATTTAATTTTTAACAGAAGTTGACAGCGTAACACTTTGATGGAGGGCCTGCCCTCTCTCCAACTACCCGGACCACATGAGCCCCAATGCACAATGTAACCAATTTCTTATTGTTTCTTTTGGAGAACATTTTGTTCCTCTCGAAAGACATACGTGGCGATTTAAAAAAAGAAAAAATCCAGAAGGATGAAAAACAACACGCTTGAGTCCTTAAAGACTCCTCTAATCCTCTGGATAAAAAAATATTTCGTCTGTTGCACAATAAATAAACATCCCTAACCCGTTTGTCTAATTACTACATTTTCTAATCCTGGCAGCCACAAGTGAGATCATATAAAGTACATGACAAATTGAGCATTTATCATTGTAGGCTACCATTTTTGTTTGGATTAGAAAAAAAAGTGGCTTGGGTTAAAAATGTTTGCAGGATAAGGAATATTTAATCCAAATGGTTAAATGAGTCTTCCAGAACAGCGGTAAGTGTTGTTAAACAACCTGGGTTGCTGGTATATATCGTTTTGGGATAAAGAAATTACCACTGTTACCTAAATGTAATGTTACATGAGAGGCACAAACTGGGGCTAGGAGAACGTCTTCTATGCTATTTGGGTATGTGGCCTAGAAAAACTGGACTTCTTGTAAGACAGCTTCAAGCCCAGTGTTGTTGACAGAGGACCCACTCGCACCTTGAGCAGGACACTGAATCCAGGCTCCGAAAAACCCCACCATGTAGATTCATTGTAACATCTCTGAGTGGGTGAACATGTCAGGAAAGTTTCCTCACAGGGATCAATGATGGGATTCAATAGACAGTACTCTGTTTTGAACAGTAGAGGGCACTCTGTGTGAGTGAAAATCAAACGGGGCATGCAGAAAGCACTGCAGAACCTTGTTGTCGTCAACATTTCAAAAAAAAAAATTATTCTCGGCAGTGGCTGCTGAGATTGAACATAAACAAAGCTTAGCTCCCTCATTACACAGAGACTGTGGTATAAACAATAGTAGTCTTGGTTTTATGACGAATTCCAGAAGATTCCGTGTTCCTTTTTTTACAACCTGTGGACTTGAACCAGAGGCTCTCTCAACTCTGCTCCGACTCTTTTATGTGCACGATTATGTACGACAGTCTGGTATTTACCCACAATACACCGCTTCCAGTGCCAGTCAGACCGTGCCTAACCTTAGTTGTCACAAGCCGTCAAGGCGTCCCAGCTGTTCATGAGGGCTGGCCTAGATCACATTGATAACCTGTGTAGAAAACACTTCTGCTTCTCAGGAGCCGTCAGCGTGACAAAGATCGATGCTGACCACAGCAGACCCTGGCAGGCTCAAACTCACAAAACATGTGCATGCAAAATGCTGGTTTGAACTTGAATGGGCTTGTCTGTTTTGCAGATGAGCTTTGGATCCCCTCACTGAAACATCTATTAATTAAGTAATTAGGAAACAGGAAACTATGATATAGACAGCTCTTAATCCTTGCCAGGACCCCCCCCCCCCCCCCATACACTACAATAGCTGACATCTCTAATCGTCAAACAGCTTATATAAATGTTTGTCACTCCACCCTTATTAATACCTGTTTATTACATATTTTTCAATATATGTATTAGTATATACATTTTTTTTCTCTTACCTTACACACAGAATCATACACATAAACTAGTGTGGTATTTAACAGATTCCCCAAAAAACATTGATTTAAGTCACAGTAACTGCAAGATGTCAGTATCAGAATTATAATGACCATCACCGTGTATACTACATACAGTATATATATATATTGTTACTTTCCATTTTTCTAGTGTTACCTGCAAAGTCGCTACTGGTTTGAATTTGCTTCAATAAAAAGAAATAGTAAAAAAAAGAATACAAACAAAATCTAGAGTGGAGTTGGTGGCAAATTGTCATTTTTGCCGAGATTAAATAAGCAAGATAAAACTAGTTACATTGTAAGTTTTAGAGGTGCTGGCAGGTCTTTTTTACTACCATTGGACAGAGCCAAGCTAGCTGCTGTCCTCCCTGTGCAGTCTTTATGCTAAGCTAATCTTCAGGCTTTAGTTTTATATTTATCATACAGACACAATGGCGGTATCCGTTTTCTCATCTAACTACCTGAAGCGTGTTTCCTTTAGCGAAGTGAAGGGTTCAATTTAAAGTATGACGGGAGTTAAATTTCATCTTATATTGTCATTGCTTTTTCCACCTTTGTTGCCAGACATTTTCTTGTTATCTCCCACCATAAAAATATAGAAAAAGAAAAAAAGAAACAAGGAACACATTAGGTGTGAACATCAAATCAACCGAACTGAAGTGAATGGGCTATTGTTTGTGGTTCTCCACGTGTTGAGGTCTCAACCTAAATTAGCAGAGAGAAGCACCAGAACTACCAGTGTTCTGCTGTACTGAGTACAAATTGATATCTGTTTCTTGTTTTATCAAGCAGATCACTGGAATGCTCTCTGCTGGCCACAAACTCTGTAAAACCTAAGTACTTACCAAATAGCTGTAAGATGCCTGTTTATTTAATCTTCTCGAAAAGCAATCAAAGATTTGGCAGTTAGTGGGGAAGCACATGGAAAAGAACCACACAGTGTACTGAATATATAAAGAAGAAAAGAGTTGCCGTACCCCCTTGTAGTGTTGTGAATCTGTTGCGTCCATACTGTGCTCCTCGTATCCATCTGCTGATAAAGAAGGCGGACATGTTAGTGTTAAGCTAAAGCTTTTTAGAATAACTGAATGACAACATCAAATATACAGTACAGAAAAAGATAAATGAATGCAGTGCAAAAATAACATCTGGCTTTTTACTATGCGCATGCATTTATGAGCAAACCTGAGTCACATTATGCAGACTAAGTTCCCCATCCTGAGTAAAGAATAACATCTTTCAAGCCAGCCATTTTCTTTATCTTAACCCAATGACCTTTTTCTTTCAATGCTTTTTTCGTATGGCAAAAAGAGGCAAACGAAGGGAACAATGTGTGTTTTCAGCCCCTCTTTACCAGTGAGTTGCATTTATACGTAACAGTTCCCTCTTGGATACAAGAGATAGAGAGAGGGATAGAGAGAGAGAGAGAGAGAGAGAGAGAGAGCGAGAGAGAGAGAGAGAGAGAGGGAGAGAGAGAGGGAGGAAGGAGAGACTGGGAACATCAAAAGCTGCAGAGAGAAGCAAATGTTAAGAATGAGCTTCCCCGATCAGCAGATAAAGTGATGAAGTTGAAAGCTCATGCAGAACAACAACATTGCAGATTAGGTTTATGCTCATTCCAGTAAACAACTGTGACCAGTTACTGCACTGACACTCTCATAATTTCCAACAGAAATCCATTTGAATGGCTTTTGTTCCATCACTCAGAAAATCATCTGCAGGAGAATTGCGCAGAAGGACATAAAACACACTAGAAGTAGCTAATACCACCACTGCCTCGTATGATAATGATGAATAATAGTAATACTTTCCACTAACAGTTTGTTTCAAACCTTGTTGCTTGTGCCTTGTGACTAAAACTTCCCTGGCTCTATTCCTCTACTCTAGATATGCCAATGTAAATAAAAGCCAGGCGGGCACTGAATGTGCCTGTCTAACCAGAACCTAAACCACTGTACCCACTTTATGAAACCTGCAAGGTTTGAATGGATCATTTTAAACAGTCAATACTTACTTCAGATAACCCTGACTCACCATTGTGTATATTCAGATTCAACTTTATGAGGTATTGATTTAGTAAACTAGGCAGCATACTAGTTATTTAACAGCCACTTGACTCTAAAGCGGATCTAAGGAAGACCACACACATAGCTGGGTTAAGCCTCTATGGGGCCCTGGTGGAAAAAATGTGTTTGACCCGTTTGTAGTCATTTCGGAAAACACAAATATATTTAGGGGTTGCAAGGGGCCAACAAAACAGGTAATAATGAAGGAGCCACCTTAACATTTTTAATGTATATTCCAAAACAAACTTGCAACTAACCACATTACAACAGACCAACTAACACATGATGTGTATAGGGCCACTCTGCCTGGTAATCCAACCTTGACCACACAGACTCAGTAAAAGTGACATTTGTTTTTACAGCAGGACTGTAAGTAACTGAAAATGTCTTGGTTCAAACAGCTCTAGGGATGGCAAAGTTAGCTCGGTCCGTTGGTTGCACTTTGGTCAAGAGAAATATCTCAAACCATTAAATGCAAAGTCCTGTCGCCAAAAAAGAATTGTTGGCATTGCATGTTTTTGCAAACCGCAAATACGTTGAATGTCTACATTTTCATTCAGGCAGAGTAAGTGATGTAGTGAACGAAAGCAAACATCAGACTTTTACCCAGAAGTTCTGTGTGAAGCTAAAAGTAAATGTTGACTTCACACTTTAAACATAGTGTAACATAAGAAAGTCTGCTAAGGGTGGTTCTTATTAATTGACACTAGTTATGTTGTTACGCAACGTTGTTACGTTACATTAGAAAGTTAGCTAAGGGTGGTTGCTATTTATTGACACTAGTTACGTTGTTACGTTACGTTGTTGCGTTACGTTGTTGCGTTACATTAGAAAGTTAGCTAAGGGTGGTTGTTATTAATTGACACAAGTTACGTTGTTGCGTTACGTTGTTGCGTTACGTTACGTTGTTGCGTTACGTTACGTTGTTACATTAGAAAGTTAGCTAAGGGTGGTTGCTATTTATTGACGCTAGTAACATTGTCAGGTTACATTGCTAGATTACATTTTTACGTTATGTTATTACGTTATGTTGTTAAGTGACATTGATACGTTTTCTTGTTACGTTATTATTTCAACACAAACCTTCATCTTTCTTCTAACCTTGACCAAGACAATTTTTTGCCTAAACCTAACCAATCCTTTCACAGCCTTTAATCTTAACCACGTGGCATTGTGAGTATCTGCAAGCGTGATATGAGGCTTATGCGAAAAGTATTTATGAAACATATTTTTGGTTCAGAAACATCAACATTCAACATATCCCGTGGTTTGCAGAAATTAATGCCAACATTTGTTTTTTCGTGGCGACTATGCTGGGCGCGATTACCATAAAATTTTGATCTCCAAAGGATAAATCCCAATGTGCTACGTAGGTGATTATCTCAATTCTCATCTAATGCCTGCAAAACTAATAACAGATTACCATCAGTACTTTATGTTCAGCCCTAATTTGCCAACGTTACCATGCTAACACGCTAAAGTAAGATGGTGAACATGGTAAACATTGAACCTGCAGTGCTAATCATCAGCATGTTAGCATTGTCATTGAGAGCATGTCAGCCTGGTGACATTAGCATTAGGGCAAAGCACTCCTGTGCCGAGGGAAAGCCTCACAGAGAAGCTAGCATTCTAGTAGACACTTAGTCTTGTTTTTAGGGTACTTGGGGTAAGATTTGATAAAAAGCACCGAACTGTTGAATATAAGGGAGAGAATAAGCATAATCAAAAGATATATGTCCGCCAACAATATCTGACCATTTCTTATGATTTAGATTGAGTCTACTTACTGTGGACCTCCGGTATGCTCTGTGTATCATATTCATTCGGCTCTGTAAAACAGAAAATACAAAAGAAGACATGTCTTATATAGTTGTGTTTAATTACAACTTGAAATGAAAATGAATGAGGTGAGGTTTGCAAGATTGCAATTCGGTAACATAATAAATAGCTCAGCAAATTGGGATAATTCAGCTTGCCTACTTTCCACATAAAAGTGTAATCAGAAGCAGAAGCAGCAGTAGCACCATTTAAGGAGTTGAGGTCATCCAACTAATTGAGTTACATTATTTTTTTGCGAATGTGAACAAAGACTGTGTTGTGAGCACCAGTGTTGCATCTCCCCATGTGCACGAAGATACTGTACTCACAGGATGACACCCTCCGAGCACTGTGAGCCCAACAGACCACAGCAGCACATACAGTCAAAAGAATGTCTGTGTGTGTTTGGGAGTACAGTCATGCATGCTGAATTTAATCCAGGTGCTCACATGAATGTCTGCATGTGATGAGTGGCTGGTCATTTTGAACACAATGCATCTGTTAACATGCATATTTATGGCTGAGTTTCATAACTGCAACACACAGCTGGATTCCACGTTCAAAGACACGACAAGCCAATGTTTTCTTCTCCCTCCCTCTTCTCTTTCCCTCTCTCTGCTGGTCGCTGGAGCTCTGCAGAACTGAGTCCTTCAAGTCCAGGCACAGAATGGGAGACATGTGACTGGAGGATCACAAGGCCCGCTGGGCTAAGCCAGCAAACCAGCTCTTTCTGTATCCCGTCCCAAAATTCTCCAGGGTGACTCAGTGTAAGTAGTACCAGGAGTTCCGGCTGTCTCCTCATGATTCATTGATCTCCTGACGCTGTGATCTCACTTGGAGACCTGCGGTGTATAATAATGCTTAAAGCTGATATACAGTGTGCTTCAAGGGCACTCTTTTTATGTGCGCTGGGTTTACAACGAAATGTGTTGGGATTGACTTTTTTTTCTCTGCAATTGGATATTCAGCAGCACAAATGGGGACAAACCAAGTTGTGTGTGTGCTGCCTTCCACTCCATCCTATGCTCTGGGCCTTGACCAGAGGATATTGGCAATGCTGCGTGAACAAATTCAAAAAGAGAGCAAAAAGTTTCAGAAAAAGGTTTGGACGAAGCCTGATATCGTCACTGCATCAGAATTTAAACACCCAGCTTCAGAAACACAAACCTTTTCCCCCCAATGGGAATAACTTCTCCAGAGGTACAGCATGCAGTGTAAATGTCCCACAAGGCCGTGCTTCTGGTCAGTTAAGGACAAAACCTAACATTTTAAGGGGGCTAGGCCCGATCTGCATCCAGGCCTGAGACACTAGTCTGTGACAGCCTCGGCACAGCTGTGAAGAGCCAGAGTTGGGGAAAACAGGAAAGATGGAAGAGATTAAAACCCTGTGACAGATTTGGCAGCCTGTTGTATACGGCTTACTATGTGGAAAAGAGAAAGGAAGTTCATTCTTGTGACTCAGTGTCACAAAAATGATGGGTCTTAATAGCCAGGTGGTGTCTTGAGAAGGTGCCGGGCCACCAGGAGCTTCAAGAACGCTATTCTTTTAAATGATATTCCATAATTCAATTTTCTTTTTGTGATGGTGAGGAGCACGGTCCAATCTCTTATATATGTTCCGTTGGGTTGAGATTTGGTGACTGCAAAGGCAATGGCATTCAGTCCAATAGTGTCTACTTGCATTAAGCTGAAGAGCCTGCGATTTCTTGTTCACAGGGATAATGTGAGCTTCACTACGAAAGAAAATTCAGTACCAAGTCCAATTCTTGAACTGGAACTTGATAACTGACACAACCTACACACATGATGCACAAGTCATGGTTATGCTTATACCAATTTTTGGATTCAACAGGCTAATACACATTCTCCATGTGAAAGAGTACAGAATGCAGCTGTTGAATCTCCTTGAAGCCTTTCATTTATTGGAGATTTGTTGCAGTGAGCTCAAGATGACATCCACTTCTGGCCTGCATCTCCCCCAAAGGGCTTGTAAAGAAATGAGTGGAACGGATGGAAATTAGTTCAGGTTGCCCCCTTCAAAGTCACCTTGACCTGAGAGCTGACATTCTACCACATCTGCAACATTTGATTCGCACTGCTTCACATTCTGGCAGACATTCCCACTTGGCAGCTGCCCAGTTTTTGACTGTTGAACACTGAACAGCTTCAGTCAGTGGGGGTTAATCTCCACAGAGGCCACAGTCACAGTATTTGTTGAGTAAAGGGATGTGGCGCGATTGACTTACTACATGCCGATTTTCACAAGTGGATCAAGGATTAAAACATTCCACTCCTGAAACCTTTTCCAAAACCCATTAGTTAACAAATTCTCACGTTTTATACATTTTCTGTGCAGAAAATTAGCCACAAGGGCATCTTAGCATTACGAACTCACCTTCAAGGTCATTTTGAGAGCAACTGCGTTCCCCGCTAAGCCTCCTGAAGAGCGATCGCATCACCTTGGCACTGCCAAAGCGCTTAAAGCGGGCACGGACGTTTTCGTGGTACCACTCCAGAGTGCCAATCTTGAGGACCCTGTTAAAAAAAAAAAAAGAGGAGGCAAAATAGATACTAATGAATGACACAGATCAGTCACATGAAAAAGTTGTTAGAATACAAACATGCCAACAACAGGGACTGAGTATGACTCTTCTGTCACACAAAGCAAGAACACGACATTCCTGACTGCTATGCTGAATGCAGCTTTAAGCACGAGATGTATAGCATGATCTTTTCCAGACATCGGCTGAGGTCAGTGAAAGGGCTTTTCGGGCTCGGCCACATCTGAGCAAACAATAGTCTAATGTTTACATATGGAGCTGGAGCGAGCTCCAAAAAACCCCACATAACTCATACGTTATATACTACATTCTAAAAAGTAGAGCTGCCAAATCCAAACAAAGTCTTTGTCCACTAGCTGCTGAAAAGCTTACACATGTATTGATGAGGTGCTTTCTTGCTCACATCACTGACTTTGTTCCTGCATTTAAAAACCTCTATAGTGGAACTTTAAAGTAGAGCTCCAGTGACTTTTGCCCTCATTTTCTTTCATAGCTGACTTACATTAATATTCATCAGAAACTTTGTGTCAGACCCCCAGGGTGTAATGGATGTACACTACCAAACATCATGGTTACATATGTTCTTTATGAAACAAGTTTTTGGTTACAGGGGAAGTATGGTATCATTTTCATTTTACTCAAAGCCTGAAAACAGCCGCTAGTTTTATTGCATTCCTTTAGCATGGATAGTGAAGCTCTAAAGACATAGACAAGGTAGCCCCACAACTGTAGAACCACAGAGGCACGAATTAAAACTTGAGTTTATGTTTCTATGGAATGACATTTCAATCAATCAAGTAATATATATTGTACATACAGAAATACATATATATGTCTATGAAATGCATAAAAAATGAAAAAAAAATATATATAAATACATGTAAATATGAACATATTAATGAATAAATATAGTTCAATAAATACATGTTTTATTTGAAAAAGGACAGCTTTTATTTATTTCAGGCGACTTTTATAACATAATTCCATGACCTGCCAGTTAGCACAGCTGTATAAGTATATAGATAAGGTTGAAATATTTAAATATTTTTTTATTATAAAATATAATTTTAATTTATGCTTATTCTTGTTGTTGTTTTTGCTCAGTGATCTTACAGGACTGTTCTGAAGAGCTGTGCACCATCGAGATGTAAGTAGCTTTAAAGAAAAGATCGGAGTGAAACTGAAGGGCTGGTAGTCTCCAGGGAAAAGAATGGCGGGTTATTGCTGATGCAATGTACAAAAATATAGACAGTATGTAGAATGTGTGACTTCATCCATAGGCATGCTGTGGGGACATATGGGCCAAATAGCCAAAATCATTAACAAACGATAAATGCATCTGCTCTAATAAAATATTATTGATAGTTATTTTATCGTAAAAAAACACAACGTGATGGTTTATAACGTTTCATAATCAGTATTAATGCTATACTTTCTGTTATGTTATTATTTTGTGTCTATGAAATAATTAGCTTCTAAGTAAAACTTTGTTAGCTGATGAGAGATGGTAATATTAACATTATTAATACATTTGTAAACTATTTATTACCAGTTAATAATTGCACAAATTATACCATTTTATTAGGATATCAAGTATTTGTTAATGACTTAGAAATGATTTGTAACCTTTTATGAAATTTTGTGTAAAACACCTGTAAACAAAACGTCGATAAATGGACCAGAAACCAATTAATAACCAGTCCACCAATCTACCATTTATCAATGATGGTTATTATTTGTCATTTCCTACCTGGCCATGCGACAGGGATTGCACACCCAGCCAAGCTCTTTCTTGTTGAACAGACTACAGGACTTGCAGATGAAGAGCTGGCAGTCCAGACACTGACACTTGCTGTTGACCAGGAACTTGAAGGGCTGGAGACATCGAATACAGTGCGACTCAGCCAGGCTGGTCTGGCTGCCCAGCAACTCCCTCTTGGTGTCTTCTTTTTCAATCTTGGTCTTTAAATCCCTAAAAAAGACAATAACCCAAGCGTTCAATAATGTACAATGAAAGAGATGAATGTGTTTATTGAAGAAAAACTACTTTAATGTATTCTTGAGATACAGGTTAATGAATTGTAATATGCAGAACTCGGCACACAAGAGAAAACCACTTTTTACTTCAGGGCTCCACGCAGCCTCACATAAAGTGTGTCATTATTTTTTTGTAATAGGACTTGTTGCACTTACATGTCTTCATTGTGCCAATGTCACCATCTGGCATGCCAACGTCATTTTACAGACATTCCATGTCTCATGATAAGGTTTTTAGTGTAGCTACAGCTGCATTTTAGTTTAGGCGACAAAACCACTTAGTTGGGTTTAGGAAAAACATCATGGCTTCGAGGTAGAATACATTACAATTGGTTTGCTAAACACATGACATTCAAAGTTGGCCCCTCCTCCTCTGCTCAACGAGTGAGTGAGGAAGAGACGCAGCAGCGCTGGTCGAGCGAGAGGGAGCGGCATTAATGAGCACAAAGCAGTGGAGAAATACAATGCTGTTTTCGGATTGTTTTCTGTTCACAACCCTGCTGGAAGGTGCAGAGTTGCCGGATTTTGAATGAATGCAGCCGGGCGGGGCAGAGTTCATCCTGTCGACTCTGCTCAGCGCGGCTCACACAGCAGAGGAGACGGAGAGGAGCAGGGGAAACATAAAAACATGCAGCCATGTAAAAACCCGTTGTCATCAATATGTCATCATATACGGCCGCGTTGTATCTGACAGAGCAAAAGGGGGATTTGTGCCCATGGAGGTAATGCTCGGTATCAGACACTGAGGGGCGTGACATGGCGTTGGTATTTGACAACCTGAAAGGTTAGTAGATAGGGGCCCAAAAGCTCTTTGCTGACACCCAGAATTGTCCCAAACACAGCAAAATAAAAAGGCAGGCATACGAAGGCAGGCTCTCTGTAGACATCAACGCACACTTCTAGTGGGTAAGAAGTGATGACTGAGACGGATTGAAAGGCCTTTGTTTGTTTGACCCATCCACCATAAGTAGTCTCACTCAGTTTTTAAACTGTATTACTAGCTCTGAGCAGAGCATATATGAACATATATACATTTACTTTGCAATCTACATGGCATAAAATGACACACAAAAAATACAAATGGCGTTGGACAAAGAATTGTCTTCTCAGTCATGCGCCAATTTGGTGAGACAGCTCATCAGGTTAAAGAAAGTTTAAACCTGATAATTGTTTGCAAATGGCCATTACTAACATATTGTATATAGTGGTACAGTTAATATGGCTGTCAATAATGCTGCTCCATTTCAGCTGCAGAAATAAACACTACATAACTGTTTTTGAATGTACATCTTGCGATAGGAAATAGTTTTGCCAAATTGTGGCAAACAAGGTTTGCGCTCTATTTATGATAGAACTCAGTCTTATTTGGTACCATCAAACCTGAACCAAAACCAAACCCTTTGCTCACTTAATCTGGCATCCAGAGCTGTAACTGAAGAGGCCACCCAGAAACACTGAGCAGACCCATGAACTGTTGTTTGCCAAGAAATAGTTCCGCCTTGTATACCCCTCTAAACATGGCAATTTTGACATTTCTGTTGACATTTGGGTACATGACATGAGACAGCTTCAGAGTTGCTGGTAATTGTATTTTTCTATTTGGGGCAGATCCAGGCTAGCTGTTTCCCCCTGACTCCAGTATTTATGCTTGGCAAAGCTAACCATATCCAACACTACTCATCTCACTCAGAAACAAAGCCAACAAGCACATTTCCCCACTGAACTAATAACTGCTGGATATATTTGAAGGTACATTTCTAACGTATTATTCACTTCATGTTTTTACAGCTAATAAAATGAACCGTGTACTATTTCTTTATACAGAGATTTTATGAGTCAAAATGCTGGCTGACAATAATGAGTGAAGAGATGCTTGCCAGCACACGGATGGCTTCCTTTTGGCAACTCTGTGTCAACATTATGTCAGCATTACAGGCAGAAAAAGCTGCAGCGTTTCTCCAGGAAAGATTTAGTGCTATGGTTACAATAAAAATAAATAAAAAAATCAACAAGATAAGTGAGGAATAGCTTCACTGTGCATGCCCCCTTCATTTAGATCTTAATCGCTTCAGCATTCTTAATACTGTATAATGTAAATAACCAAAATGTGCGACAACCTCATGAAAATAATGTTTAGTGTCCCTTAAAGTGACATGGGTGTGTTAGAATGTGTTTATTACCTCGAGTAAAAATACTAATACTGTACCAGGCAGCAACCACCAATTTTGAAAAGTGAAGCCAATGTTGAAGTGCTTTAAACTTGCATTCTCTCTAATGGCCATCAGGGGGCGACTCCTCTGGTTGCAAAAATAAGTCTTATTGTATGGAAATCTATGACAAAATGACTCTACTTCTCTCTTGATTTATTCCCTCAGTAAACATTGTAAACATGAGTTTATGATCTCAATCTCTAGTTTCAAGTCTTCGTCAATACAGCATGATGTTCATTTAGTAAGTTATTATTATCCATTTAGAGTCAAACAGACCATAACCCAGGGTATGCTTTAGGGCGGGGCTACCTTGTGATTGACAGGCTGCTACCACGTCGTTGTGGGAGTTGTTCCTGTTTTCATCTTAGAAATTGAGCAATTTCACAGTGTGCTTTCAGTTCATGGAAGTTAACTGTAACATTTTGGTCGACTAAAAATGTCTTATTAGGCGTTCGGTTGTTCTGAGCTCTACCCTCTCAAGTCACTTTTGGTGTGAATTAATGTAGCATGTGTATGTGTGTATCATTTGGTTTCACATTACCGGTTGACTGACTATGTGATACTTTTTTCACACTTTTAAAACAATTGCGTAATGCATACCTTTGTTTGCTCAAGTGTCATCACTCAAACTTAAACAAGTAATGGTTTTGTTGAAGCCTTTATATTATACACCAAAAACAAAACGGATCGCCCTGTTTCTGTGAGTGTAAAAAAGAAAAAAAGAGCTATGGTTGTTTTGTGGCTAACAGAGTGGTTGAGTCCTCACTGATGATGGGCTGTAAAGAGTTATTTAGTGCTACACTTTACAGTCACATTTTTAGTTATTTAAGAAACATTCATTTTGAGTAATTATTTTGCAGTTAGAAAAAAAATCCATTCCAGCCTTTAATTAGTTTTCCTCCATTTAAATCAACACTTCCTCTTGTAGCAACATGTAGTTAGTGGAGAAGCAGTTGCAGAAAAGTTACTTTCTTTCTTGTAATGTTCTCACTTGATTCTTTCAGCAATGTGTTTTAGAAATGAGTTAATCTGAGCTCCATTATTACATTTGAAAAAAATCTGTCTTCAAGTAATAAATATAGCTGTGCGGTGCAAAACGTCCTGCACTAACTTCAGTCAAATTCTTGTTAAAAACTTAAAGCAATGGTGTGTAGGATTTGGTGGCATCTAGCAGTGTAGTTTTAGATTGCAGTCAACTGAATACCCCTCCGCGCACTTCTCCCTTTTCAAGACTGCAGTAACGTGAGCCACAGAGTACAAAACCGTGGTAACGCAGTTCGTCTCGCTCAGAGGTCATCCCTACCATAATAACACTACTTCAGGAGCAACGGAAGTGAGATGGAGGCTGTTGGTACCACGATTTTACACTCTATAAAACTTGGTGGCCTTCAGGTAATGTAAAAAATTTAAAAGGGCCAGAGTTTGGTTTTTCCCTTCTGGCCTACTGTAGAAACGTTGTGGTGCAACATGGTAGACTCGGGTGATTATAAACTAATGAACACATAATTTTTGAATATTTTGTTCCATTTCTGCTAATAACCTCCCCCAAAATGCTACAAACTGGCCATTTAACAAATAAAACCAAATCAAGCAAACTCATACTTCCTCTACTCTCCGAGTTGCGGTTTAAATGCCTGCTTTGAGTCAGACTTTTTTCTTCAGCAAAGTTTGAGGCATTCTTGTGCTGATTGCTGGAAAAGAAACAGCCTCACTCAGCGCTGAGAGATGCTGACGGTAGTGGAGAGGAAAACATTCAGATAACAAATCCCAAATGTCACGCAGCTTGGGTGGAGTCTGGCAAAACACCCACAGAGGATGAGAGGATACTTATTGTTTATTACATTTTTTTTAGGCCATGCTTTTTAAATTATAGCCCAGATCATCGGGATGAATTGGAAACTCTCGAACCGTTAGCAGATACAGCTGATGGCCATTAGCAATATGATTTCAAAGTACTATCTCCGGAACATCAAATCCCACAGATCTGATATACAAGATGGCCTTCTGTGACTCAATAAGATGTGTGCTGGAGGCAACTTTCAGGCCTTCCGAGTCTTCCCCAGTCTGTGACTGTGTGGTTGTCAGCATTTCTTAGTTGATGTGATAAGCTGCAAGGGTTTTTTAGGGTTTTCGATCAAGATGTGTGTGAAAGCTCTGGAGTATTTCCGGTATGTGGATCTTGCACTGAGATTTAGCTCGGTACAGTTCTGGACTAAAAATGTATTTAAGAAGTAGTAGGTTTGGAGAAACATAGAGGGGTACCAGCACAGGAGCAAGCAATGTACTGCTGTGGACGGGACAGCAGCTAAACGTATAAAAAGCAAGACATTTCCAACATTGCCATGTGTTATTATGTTAGGCTGTCATTATTTGTGGCATTTTGTGTGTTTTTAAAATTTATTTCAATTTAGTTGTGTTTAGGCAACAAAACCATTTAGTTAGATTGAGGGAAAATCGTCATGGTTTCAAATAAGTAAGTAAATTAAGTAAAATACGTACGTTAACAACATAACAATAAGACACATCACAAACATCACTGAGGTAAAAAAAACACTTCGAGCCACTGGTCTCAAACATCAGTTAGCTGGTTGCAAGTCCTGTGTTTGTTTGAGCCATCCGTCTTCCCTCCCTCCCACCATAAGCGTCACCCTCACGTTTTATACTCTGTCTCTTGTTCAGAATGTAGTCACGCAGATGCGTTTACATTGCAGTAAAGTACAGACTACATAACGTATAAATGACAAAAAGCAAGAAAGGAGTTCTTATTGAATGTAAAATGATTGAATGAAATCAAAATTGTTGTGTCATTCATACACCAATCTAGTTTATTTTCACCGTCTTACTTTGCCATCAGACAGTCCTTTCCGGTGGAGAACTAAAGCCGTTACCTACACTCTCTTCAAAGCAACTAGACTTCTTAGACTCCTGGGAGACTGTGGCTCAGTGGAGAGCAGGGTTAAAGAATCGGCGGTTCGATCCCCGGCTCCGCTAGTCGCATGTCGATGTGTCCTTGGCCAAGACACTTAACCCCAAAAGTGCTCTTGAGCTGTGCTTACGGTGTGTGAATGTTAGTTAGTCCTGGTGGCAGGTGGATGGCTATCAGTGTATGAATGGGTGAATGATAGTGTGAAAGTGCTTTGAGTGGTCGGAAAGACTAGAAAAGCGCTATACAGTCCATTTACCATTTATTCTACAAAAACAGGCACTTATGAGATTGTTCTGTCTCTCTCCTCCTTTTTTCATGCTGGAAAAATTGGAGGTCATAAAAAAAGCCTTACATTGTAAATAGTAGACGTGACTATGTTTTACTAAGTTTTGTCCTCAAAATGCAAATTTTTCCTCAGTATTTGATTAGAAGCAGGTACTGGAAAGTTTATGAGGCAGCTCGGGAATCCAGGTTCGCCAGCCAGACGTTCACTTAGACACAGACAGTTATAGAGACCAAAGTAACTGATTGTTCCCATACATGGTGATCTGCGCGCCATGTCCGTCCACACAAATCAAATCCTCTCTAGTTTAAATGAACTTCCTGCTTCAGATGTTCTTTACCGAGTTTGAGCTTGTGTGTGTCTTTCATCTTAACATCACAACCTGATATGCTGCTCTTTGCCTCTCTCTGAAGTCCATAGTAGAACCAGGTTAACATGCACTCCAGTGGGCTAGTGAGAGTGAGACAAAGAGATAAAAAATGGGACTCACACACACAAACATACCGCTTTCCAGAAAAAGAATAAGCAGTTCACATTAGCTTTGCAGATATGTTTACATGAAATTATCAATTTTCAGACAGCCTTTTAAAATACCACTATAATGTCATTAAATAGAATGCATTACCTGGGTTTGACTGACATGAACTAATGTGATATATTTATATATAATTACAATGTGTGTGAATGTGATGGTGTTTTGCCATATATTTCATGTATATATATTAAAACTAGTAAATGTATATTTCATATATATATATGACCAGACTATCGTAGGGCTGACACCATCACATTCACACACATTGTATTTATATATAAATAAATATAACACATCAGTATATATATATAGATATATAGATATATATAGATAGATAGATAGATACTTCAAGTTGACACTTCTGCAGTGGCTACTACTATAAATATGCTTCCTGTGAAATCATGTGAGGATTTTTGAAACTTTTTCTCAAAACACACTTACTAACCTAATACAAATATGTATTTGTACTATTTACACTTTATTTTAGTGGAATTGGTAAAGGAGAAAACTTAAAGTCATTGCCAAATTA